TTTGAACTGTCCAAGAATTGCAAATATTGGAGATGGCCGATGGTTAGAAGATTCCTTAAAGAACGATCCATGACTACTCATCACTTTGATGGTTGTATGTTGGGTGTTCTTGGAAACAGCGGTCAACCAATGAAGAAAAGTTGGACTATTGCAGGAAATTTTAAAGAACTCACCGTGTTAGACTCATTCAAATGTGATGGCAAACATGAGCATGATCAAAGTAGGGGCAAAGCTCTTAAACTTGCTGAGAACTATACCTTCAAGTTGACTGACATGCTCCATGAGTGTTTCCGGGTAGCTGTGGTGGGCCAAACATCCAAAAGGATTTCACCCGTTGTCATTCGTGCCTGTCCTGCAAAAATGGCTGACTCACGATATGCCACAGCACACCCGGCCAGCCGCGAGGCTGCGCTCGAAGCCACACGTGAGGCTAACAAAGAAGCATGGTTGCTCCTTCACAATCGCATTTTGTATGCATTGGCCATGCGCAATGAAGGTGAGAATCAGGCTGCTCAGGACCTTGTGGATGGTTTGATGACCGAATGGACGCCGGCTTCGGCCCTGAGGTTCTATGGTCGAGAGGATCCGCTTGCAGAATACCTTAGTTTCTGCTTTTTGCCAAAGGAGTCCCACATCGAAAAGATCATGCTGCCAGAGATGCCCGTCAATGACGTAATCTGGATCTTAGTCTCTGACTCGTCATGTGCATTGATCACAGGGCGTAGGAAGACACTTAAGAAGTTTGATCTTTCCGAGCACTACCGACAGCGCAAACCCAAGTACGTGACTGAGTTCATCCACGAGATGCTTTGGGGCAAAACTTTGCAGAGGTTGGTAAAGAGAGGGATCGAATTGGCCGCGGACGCCCGCGAGCGCTATCCTCATGCACGCATCAACCTGCACTTGTCCTGGTTCGGAAATGAATTGGTAGGGGAGGATGGAATTGCCCAAAATCCAAATTGGCCGTACGATGGTCCCAACGGGCACTGGCCCACGATCCTGGATGATTGTGAGCGCCACTTGACATGGTTCATCAACAAGGCCCGGGAGTTGGACTTGCAGACGGCCGGTCTCACGACCGCGCCCTGGAGCGCAGATTACGGCATTCATCCAATTTTCGATCAATTTTTCGACCATTTGGAGCCCCGATTCAAAGCTCTAACCAGCAGCCTGCAAGGGCGTGCCAATCCGCGGTATCCGTGGCTAAAAGCAAAGGGGTACGCCGATGCAATGGAATTCAGAGACCAGTGGCATTTCGCCAACTCTGAAGAAAATCGCACGCGCCTTGCTGCCTATTGGACAGCTACCCTTTTCGCACTTGATTCCGGATGGCGGGTCGGCCAAATTGGTTTGGAGCTTTCTGAGTGTGCCCAGGAGACATGGGATGATTTGCGGAGGAACATGAGCGCCGTCCTGGACGAGCTGCCAAGATCCTATCAGGAGACATGTGCAAACATCACCAAGTTGCTTTTTGGAGAGTCCCGAAGACACATCGTGCCGACGGGCAGGTCATTCACCAAGGAGGACGTCGAAGCTCAACAACCTGACACTGAGGACTACATCGACATCAAGACGTTGCCTTCGGGCACGTTTGCTGAGCCTCCCAAAGATGACCCTCCAAAGGCCGCCGGCGACGGCGAGCCCGCTGCATCCAGCAGAGCAACAATCCTGGTCCAGACAGCTGAGGTCATGTTGAAGTCGCGGCCGAAAGCAGCACCAGCATCAATGGATGAGCCCGCAGATGACAAGGGAGCCACATCCAGCCAGTACCAGCCGCAGGCAACTGCGCGCTTCGAGGGACAAGCATCTGGCCACGTGAAAGCATATTGGATGGAAGAGCATTTGCCTGAATACCAATATACAATGGTGACCAATGCAGACGGGGACGATGTGCCCGGCATCCTCTTTGAAGGTACGGCTTATGAGCTGGAGCTGATATCGGCATCCGACGTTGAGACCATTGCCAGCCAGACTCGCGTCGACAAGAAGTTTTCTGATTTTGCAACTCGTGTCAACAAAGTTTGCAGGGGGCATGGATCCTGTGCCAAGGTGCCAATGGACAAAGACCTTTGGATTGACTTGGAGGATTTCGCCAAAGCCTTCCGCAAGGAAGTGCCCCCAGATGTTTTCATCACTGTCGCAAACCTGTTTGGCACCGCAATGAAGATCGACAAGCATGGCAAGAGTAGGTTCCAATTCTTGTGTGCAAAGATCTCCCATTTTCCTGTCGACAATGGCCTAGGCATGCCGTATTATCCTGTGAAAATCCGTGCAATTCAGGGTCACTCCGAAGCTGCCTTGAAAACCGCAGGGGGTCTTTATGCCAATTCAACCATGGTGTATTGCTCAGACCATGTATCCCCCGAGCGAAAAGCCGCCTTCACTGGCGTGCCCCTGTGTGCCATGACTGAGGTTCCTGAGGTTGTCTTCCATCGCACGATGAAAAGCAGCTGGAAGAGCATCGCACAGAACGGCCTGATCCCAGGCGGCGGTGCAACAGTCAACAGTGGCCGTGCCCATATCTATATGGCAGAACACTGTATTGGCACGCAGGGGTATCGATCTGGATTAAGAGCAAAATGTCCAATCGAAGTCAAAATCGCAATGCGGCAAGCAGTTGAAGCTGGTGTCATCTTTAGTCGCACAGAAATGGATGGGATTTTGTGCTCAGAACGCATCCCACCGCAGTTTCTGGTCAGCATCTCAGAAGAAGGACAGGTGCTTTGGTCCCGCGCCGAGAGCAATCTCGAGCCCAGCACATGGACTGGCGCGGCGTCTGCCTCAGCACCGAAAGCCAAAGCGGTCACCTTGACTGCCCGAGATGATGCAAATGACGACCCAATGGATGACACCAGCACGGGGCGACCCGATGCCAAGTCCACTGATGATGATGCAGCCACTGCCTCAATGCAAGTTGACCAGCCGCCCGCAAGGACGCGCCGTGTTTACATTGCACCCAAGTACTGCGAACCTTTCATGGGCTCCTGTCCCCTCTGCCAGGTTGAGTACGTCAGTGGCCAAGTGACATGCACCACATGTGGTTTTGAGCCACTCCCAGTGGACGAAAGTGGCGATACAAAAGAGGCCAACAAACCCAACAGGAGGACCCGCATCCTTGAACGGCGAATGCAAAGTCTCGCCGGGTTCGGAATGTTTGGGAAGATGAGCGGAAGCTTGCTGACAGCCTTGACGGAAGAGCAAGCCAACCTGCTACGCCGAGAACTGGGCCCCAGGGGAATCACATCCGTGGAATCAGCAGTCCTCAAAGACTGCCGCGACAGGCATCGACGTGCAAAAGCGCTGGGCTACGAGGACGTGGAAGATAGATACTCCAGCGACGTCACTTTTTGCGACCGCATCCACGGTGAGGGGAAGGACCTGCAGGACTGCATATTTGACGATATGTTCGCATATGGCAACCTCCCCGATCCCCCAAGGACCAAAGCTCAGATCTCGGCTGGCGTCGCCGCCAATGCCCAAAATGAGAACTGCTTATCTAAGTTGATTTTCATGTCTCAGCCTCGTGGCGTTGATGGCTTCCCAGTTGAGTTCCGCAAAACATGGAAGAAGGTCTGGGGTTTCATGTTTGGCCGCCACATTTTTACAGAGGATGAATATGTCAGCTACATCGGCCGTCGTGGCGCATTCCGTGGCCTGTTGACCTGGAAGGGTACTGTCCAAGTCCCTCTTGATGGCACTCGTGATTTCCTCGAAAAGGTGTATGAGGAAAACCTTCCCTTGGTTCGGAGCAATCTTGAACGCAAAGAGAAGCAGAGCGCCGCTGCAAAGGCTGGAGGTCCTGGAGGTCATAAGGCCGACCCCACGGTCGCGCCCACCATTGAGCGAAAGCGCAAAGCCGAAGCTGATGCATCCGCAACCGCAACAGATGTCACAGCCGCCTCAAGCTCTGCTCGCGCAGATGCCTCGCACGCTGATGCCCCAGCCGCACCATTTCTGGTACCCGAACCACCAACATCCAAAGCAGGAGCACGACCATTCTTGGAGCCTGAGACACCGCCCACTGCAAAAGCAGCAACCGCAGGAGTCACTTCGAAGGCTGCAAGCTCCGGTCGCCCGGATGCCTCTTGGAGTTGGAATCGTGATCACTATGGTGCACGCCGAGAATGGAGTTTCTGGCGTGGAGCTTGGTATTACCGTGACGAGGCCGGCGGCCGTTGGATCTTTTGGAACCGTTAGGGAGACGATGATTTTCTTTTGTAGCATAGCGCAAGATGTGGCATGGTAATGTGCCTTCCTTGCAACGCTGCGCTGGGTTTTACGGGCTTGAGCTTTTTAGAGGGACCTTTGAAAGACTGCACAAAATGTCTAAAACCAACTAAAGAAATTCGGCTACCCGCGAGGGTATGCTTTTCTGGGTTATTCGTTCTCCGCAGTCGTCCCTGCTCGCCCGAGGGGGGTGTAAAAACTCCTGCAGTAAAACCATGTATTGTATATATCATCGATCTGCCCGATAGCGTTGGTTCAAAAGTACCAGGAGCTGAGCGGTTTGTAGGTTCACCCCATTAGTGTTGTAATACCTAATTGGTGGCTGACCTGTGAATATACATGTTTGTCCACTGTTTGGACGTATCATGAAATATAAGTCCATGAAATATAACTGGATGGTTTTGATTAGTGGGTAAATCAATGTAAATTATGCAAAGATATATTTCCCAGGAGTTTACCAGACATTTGCGGGTTGTATCGAATTTTTGACCCTCATCTATGGACTTGAACGGCTGGATGAAACGGCTGGATGAAACGAATGGACCCAAGACACTGGTGGTTGATGGTTGGAAACTGGGCTGCAACCCGACATTTTGGAGGTTCTTACATAGTAAATCACGCAAACTGGAGATCCAAACTTGGCTCCAGGAGTTCTACTAAAATGCTTTAACGAGAGTGCTGCTGTATGATGCAATATAAAACCCCTATGAATGAATCCGTGGTTTTTGCGCATGACATAGGGTTTAATCCCAGAGCTCTCAAGGGACGTCCAGGCGTCTACCGATTCCTTTGAAGGAGGGCTTGCGTTATGAAGTGGAGCTGCTTCGCTGTGTTTCTTGGCGAACTGGCCGAAAACCCATCCTCCGATGAGATTCGAATGTTTACAAAGTGCAAGTGGTTGGTACAAGGTGGTGCCCCATAGTTAGCTAAATCGGTTTATAAGTCCAATATCTAGGGTTTATGGGGGTTATATCTTTAGTTACTGGGGATTATAAACCAACTTATAACTGGGGGGGTACCACCTTGTAAACTGTCCAAAACAGCGGCATCATACTCTGCCGTCTCGGCATTTTTGGTTTCATGGTTGATTATACCCAATAATCCCAATATTTGCGGGAAGGTCATCATCCATAAACGGATAATTTTGGTAACAAATGGTTGGTTCATGATTATATGGGGTTATCTACTATGGAGGGCTATGTATTTTTGTCTTTTTTTTTGCGGCAGGTTTTGGATTTTTTGTGGGGGTTCCTGGTTATATGTGTTCCTGCTTCTCTGCTTTTCTGCTTCTCTGCTTTTTGCTTTCTGCCTTGCCGCTTCTCCGCTTTTCTGCTTTTTCTGTTTTCCCTGCTTCTCTGCTTTTCTGCTTTTTGCTTTTCTGCTTCTCTGCTTTTCTGCTTCTCTGCTTTTCTGCTTCTCTGCTTTTCTGATTTTCTGCTTTTGCTTTGCCTTTCCTGCTTCTCTGCTTCTCTGCTTTCACTGCCTCTCTGCTTTTCTGCTTTCTACTTCTCTACTTTCATTTCTTCTCTGCTTTTTGCTTCTCGGCTTGTTTGCTTCTTGCTTTTCCTGTTTCTCTGCTTCTCTGCTTTTGCTGCTTTTACTGCTTGTCGGCTTTTCTGCTTCTGATTCTCTACATTCACTGCTTCTCTGCTTTTCCTGCTTCTCTGCTTCTCTGCTTTTTCTGCTTTTTCTACTTTTTCTGCTTTTTCTGCTTCTCTGCTTTTTGCTTTCCCTGCTTTTCTGCTTCTCTGCTTTCCCTGCTTCTTTGCTTTTCCGCTTTTGTGCTTCTGCGCCTTTCTACTTCTACCTTTTCCTTTCTTCAGTCTATGTTTTTGCCAGCGCTTCCTCTCTGTTTTTGCATGTTTACGCCTGCCGCCATATTTTACAGCTGGCATGTTTAATCTATGCCTGGCTCGTTCTTACGCCATTGGTGTGTGGTGACCTCGCCAAGCAACTTGCTTTGCTTGACCATCTGGCATGTTTACGCCTGCCGCCATATTTTACAACTTGCATTCTTAATCTGTGTCTGGCTTGTTTTTACACCATTGGTAAGTGGTGACCTCGCCAAGCAACCTGCTTTGTTAGACCATCTATCTATCTATCTATCGATCGATCGATCGATCTATCGATCTATCGATCTATCGATCTATCGATCTATCGATCTATCGATCTACCTACGTACCTATCTACCTATCTACCTATCTACTTATCTAACTATCTACCTATCTACCTATCTACCTATCTACCTATCTACCTATCTACCTATCTACCTATCTACCTATCTACCTATCTATCTATCTACCTACCTATCTATCTATCTTTCTATCTTTCTATCTATCTACCTATCTACCTATCTACCTATCTACCTATCTACCTATCTACCTATCTACCTATCTACCTATCTACCTATCTACCTATCTACCTATCTACCTATCTACCTATCTACCTATCTACCTATCTACCTATCTATCTATCTATCTATCTATCTAAAAGGTTTGCATTATCATCGAGATGATGTTCAAAGCCCAAGCCAACCCTGAACCAAGCCAAAATATACAGTACACCAACCTTTTATAAAGAGATCTTAAACCAACACGATGATAACACACTGCGCTTAGCCACTTCACCTTGCAATGGTGCCGGATCTCAGAGCACATGACTTTGCAGCTGTTCCATGAAGTCTGGGTGAATATTTTCTGCCACTTGGAAGCTCGGGGGCACGGGGCAATGGTGGAAACCATGAAGAAACAATATTTCCACGAGGTTGCAGCCCGTGATGGGTCCAAGCTGTGGTCTGCCCCTGGCGATCAGGACTGGACCGCATAATGCCGGGGACAGATGTGGGGTCAGCGCCGCAAGAAAGCTGGCACGGGCAGACGTTGAAGCCGGCATTTCTGAAGCACAGGTATGAACCTTTCGACCTCGCTGAAAACTTGGAGGCTGCCATTGTCAACCCCCAGCTGCAAACATTGCAAGAGATGGCGCATCAAGGTGCTTCATATGAAGATTGGCCTGCTATAGGTCAGTTCATCAGTCAGCACATCTTAAGAAATGGGACAGCACTTGTAAAGGATGGCCGCACACAGCCCAAAACATTGCTCGGCTTAAATATCCACCAAATCTTCCAGGATGACCACGGCAGCACATGGATGCTGGTGCCAAAATCTACCCTGAAGGTTGATTGGAGCATATCTGGCAAAAAAAAGCCTACAAGGACAGAAACTTTCAGGAACTGCCTCCCCATGCAGTGAAAGCATTCGCCCACATGGTCCAAGCAAAGTCCAGCGCGGAGATCAAGCAGCGACTGCACAAAGGAGAAGAGGTGGATTGGAAGGCGGCGGCTAAAGCCCTTGACGACTGGACCCTTGTTCTGTCCGGTGAAAGCACCCAGCAGTTCTAGAGCTTACATGGTGGTCCGCTCAACGATGCCGAGCGTCGCCGAGCGTCAGAACCTCCACGGCTTCCATCTATATTTTCACTGCTCCGTCTCTTCTCGGTGGGGACCATGTATTCCCTGATGCTACACCAAAACCACATCAACGAGAGCCAGCTGCCAAAGCCAAAACCAAAAGGCCGCCTGAAGAAGCGCCCTAATGGCCCAGAACGCTCTGTATCATTGCGCTTGCAGCCAGGTCCTGCTTCTGAGCCTCGGTCATCTGTGGCACCAGCTGCGCCTCATGATCCTCAGCAGTTGCTTCCCGATCAAGTTGCACTCCGCAGCATCTTACGCAAAGCCGGATGCGGGCATCTCTTTCCAGCCATGCAACAGCAGGGTGCTACCATCGCTGCCCTTCGCACCTTCACCTTCACTGATTTCGCGGCAATCTTTTCCTTGAATGTGGGCTCGGCTCACACACTGATGCAACTTCTAGCAAAGGCGCATTGGCAGACTGTGTTAGATCCTGCTGTGAACTTGGGTGTGTGGTTCTCGCCAGGCAGATGAGCTAGCACCCGCTTCTCAGCTTGATGAGGCCCCTTGTTTCTCAACATTTCTAGGCATTTCCATACTTAAACTTGGTTAACCAACATTTGCAACATGGGGCATGGGGTGACACTTTTGCAGATAACAATCCCATGTCCCAAGTAATTTTGTTGGCCTACGAAGGGTGGCTCATCTACACCAGCTTCCGTGCCCAAAGCGCGAACCGTAGAGGCACTCTGCTTTGCACGCATTATTGATTAGTGCAGCACGCTCACACATGACCGGGATTGTCCAAGTTGTATCAATCTTTGCTGCAGGGTATCTTGGTACAATGATTCTGCGGGAGTTGACTTGTCCGTGAGGGTGATGCCGGAGCTGCTGCCCTTTCCACTGCACCGTCAGCTTCCGCGCAGGTGACTGATTGTCCAGAAACTGGATTCCAAAGTTATTTTCGTGCCTACTCAGGATTGTTTATTTGCAGCCTCGAGTTCCAAAGCGCCAGCGGTAGAGGCATTTTGCTCTGCAAGCGTGCTAGAATAGTGCAGAACAGAGAGGCAGTACACAGGATTGTCCAAGCAGCATCCACTTTTTTAGGAGGAGGAGGAATGTGTAGCACTGTTCTGGCACGCACGATGTCTTTGCTGCAATTTCAGCAGATGGAAAAGTGGTGACCTGGGGCAAGGCAGACACTGGTGACGATCAGTTTATGTACATCTAGGCATATATGAGAGTCCCCAGCAACATGTACTGCCTGCTGAATAGGATATGTTTCATGTGAATCGTTTTCCCGCATCTTCATGTGGGACCCTCACCAGTCTGGAGTTCAATCGAATTCCTTATCTCCTGTTTCCGCCAAACATCATCTTTTGTGGCTAGCAAGCATGTACTAGTATTCAGCGCAGCAAAGAAAGGCAAATATGGATCCTTGTCCAATCAATCAGTGAAGGAACGTAAGTCCGGTGTAAGTCCAGTGTGGATCCAAGAAAGGGAAAATGATAAATCTTGTTGCTTGAGCAGATTTATCATTGTCCCTCCATCAGGAGTCTAAACCATATAACAATATACCAGATCAATAATATGAGGGTGCGATCCCCCTTTTCCCATTGGCTGCTTCACAAAATAGAGGTGCTGTTCCCCTTCACAATCAGTAGGTAAATGATTGGGCATGATATGGTATACCGTTGTATACCATTGACCGGCCCCTCTTTCTTTATCCCCAAAGGCATGATAGTATATTGTAATAATATTGCATTACATCCCATGACATCCCAGTATATCCCAGTACATCCAGTACATCCCAGTGCATCCCAGTGGATCCATGACTGGAAAGTCTCGTATCTTGGGGCATATTAAAAAAAAAGAAAGTAGAGACTTAGAATGGCTTAGATCCTACCATGAAGCTGCAGTTAACACAATACCGCACAAGGCGGTGGCAGAAGTGTCAATATAGGAAACCTATAGGAGAGGTCAGTTGTTGTGATGCATGGGTTGATGGACCGAAAGAAACGTGGCTGTTGCCCTGAGTCTCTCTCTCTCTCTCTCTTTGTGTCTCTCTGTCTCTCTGTCTCTCTGTCTCTCTGTCTCTCTGTCTCTCTGTCTCTCTGTCTCTCTGTCTCTCTCTCTCTCTCTCTCTCTCTGTCTCTCTGTCTCTCTGTCTCTCTGTCTCTCTGTCTCTCTCTCTCTCTCTCGGTCTATCTCGGCCTATCTCGGTCTATCTTTCTATTTGTTTATCTATCTATTAATCGATTAATCTATTAATCTATTAGTCTATATCTCTCTCTCTCTCGGTCTATCTCGGTCTATCTATCTATTTGTTTATCTATCTATTAATCTATTAATCTATTAATCTATTAATCTATTAGTCTATTAATCTATTAATCTATTAGTCTATTAATCTATTAATCTGTTAATCTATCTAATCAATCTATCAATCTATCCAACTATCGGTCTGTCAGTCTGTCAGTCTGTCAGTCCAGTCTGTCTGTCTGTCTGTTTGTCTGTCTGTCTGTTTGACTACCTGACCATGATCTATCGATCTTTCTATCTGAAAGGAAATAATTATTTGATATTTCTTTCAAAAGTGGAAGTTGACATGTCCAAAACAGAGGTTTCTTCAAAAAATGAAGGTTCTGAGCTCCGAAATGAAGAATTGTTGCGAGACTTCCTCAATGTTTAATCCCGGTCCCACTACATCCCGGCAGTCTGGGCAAAACAACTATTATGATGTTTCCATCATCATTGTATGATCCCATTGATTTTAAACACTAAAAATGATGGGATAATCCCTAAATAGTTAACTTCCTACAAGGTGAACCCCTCAATTTATAAGTTGATTTATAAATCCCTTGGCTATAGTTATATGTTGTATTATTTTGTTATATCCGGATTGTTCCCAATCAACGCTAGTTCACCAAGTTGTCAGTCGACTTAGTTATCCCATATGCTCCATGTATGGAATATTTACCAACATTTACTTTAGAAATGACCCAAATGTAGGTAAATATACCATACATGGAGCATATGGGTATGATTTTGTCGTTTCGTCGCTCCGTTCCTAGGTCCAAGCTCCGGTGGCCAACAGCGCCGACAAGGCCCAACGCCTCTGCTGTTCGGATGCGCAATATCCCTGTGCCTTGGCGCCAAAGGCGCTTAGCGGGCGGTGCCCGTTGCTCCAAAAATTATTGATGTTTAACAAACAAAATCTATGTTTTAACATCAAAAAAAACATCACATATGTGCTATTGATGTGTGTTTTAACATCAAAAATATGGGGTGGAATGCATTGATTATATTGATTCTAGACAGCTTGCAGGTTGTAGGTCGGTGACATTCGGTGACACTGAGGCAAAGTGCCTTCCAAGATGCGTTTGGACGTGATTTCCGATGGGAGCTGATGAGTTTGCAGAAAAATGCGCTGCACGTGGTCTAATACCTTGGGAAACTGGCACTGGTTGACTGGAGGTTCCAAGAGGCATAATGTTATATTATATATCTGGTTGGTGGTTTGGAGCATTTTTTTATTTTTCCATATATCGGGAGTAACCATCCCAACTGACTAATATTTTTCAAAATGGTTAAAACCAACCACCAGATAGTATATGATTATGATATACTGTAGAATGGTTATGAATGGTTCAGAATTAATTATTGACCCCAAAATCTTGGATGTTTCAGGTACGGAGTATTCAGGTGCATTGGTAGCCCAAGGTTGAACATCTATGAAGAACCCCACAGTCCTTTCACAATTAAACAATCCCCCTACCATTTGTAGCCAATGGTGGGTTTACGGGAAGATTTACAGCAAACAACATAGATTTTACATTGATTCACCATTGATATCGGAGATTTTATAGATTTTACATTGATTCAGCATTTACATATATGTATATATATATATATATATAGATTTTACATAGATTTTGTACATTGATTCAACATAGATTCAAATACGGAGGTTTTTCCAACTAAATCAGAAAAAAAAATCCCAACTAGACTAAATCCCCACATGTCGGGCCATGCACACATTGCCCACATGTCAGCGCCACGGCAATCACTTTTTGGCTTCAAGACGGGTCCTGACCAACGTGGCGCCGGGGACGCGGCAGGTGCCCATGTCAATTAGGAAAATGAGGTGTCAAAGCAGAAATGCTGTAGGCGATCGTATTTTTGGACATACCCAATTCTAGATGATTCATAGTACTCCTTACTTGATCACATGCTCAGGGTGGCAATTCTGCAGATGATTTGATGTTCTACTTATAGTCATCCTGGAGTAGATTATGGAAATTTCAAGAGAAATCCCCAGTAAAATAGGATAAAATAGGTATATCTTTAGAAATCTCATATACTGTATCTACTTCAGGATGCGTTTAAATGTTTGGACTTACCTGCATGAAACTGGAGATGACTTTTCATTCATCCACACTACATCTTTAATGATTCATGATAGACAGACAAAAATCTGATTGCTAAATGTCCATTGAATAAATGTGCAAATTTCAGATGACACAGTTCCAGTTTCTGCACATCCAATATGCTCCATGGAGCTGGAAAATTAAACATAAATCCCACCAAAAAGGCCTGGTTACCAGCACCATGGTGCTTATTTTTATAGCAACAAAGATGATTAATCAATGGATTCAAGGATTAACTATAGAGGAACATGGAGATTCAACCAACCCCCAGGCGTCATGCCCGTGCCGGTGCTCCTGTATTTAGCTCAGACCGGATCTGGCGGTGGGGTTCATGGGGGAATTATGCTGGGAAATAGGGTAAAACAAGAAATGGGTTGGATATGGCTGGGTACATTATATCCCTAAACTAAATCTTCATCCATATTTGATATGGGTTAGAGATGGTTAGCCATTTTTCAAAATGGGTCAGGGATGCCGCAAAATTGCCAGTTTTTTGTGCGATAAACATCTGAAACGAAGGCTTGACCAAGGCCACTATGGCCAGGTTTACCATCAAAACGCGGCAAACCCGAACGAAGCTAGTGTTTAATCACAGTTTTATCAGTTTTATCTGTTAAATTGTTCTTAAACACTCGAAGTTTGCAAGTCGCAGTGGACATAACTTCTCCAAACATTGTGAGTTTCACGGTTTTACCTCCCTACAATGGTGATGGGTCAACCGATCGGTGTAATATGTTGCCAGATATGGCAAAGATGTACGGTTTAGAATCGTGATTTGCAAGAAGGAACTGGTTTATCCATGTCACCATGTTTATCCATGTTTATCCCTTGTTTATCCATGTTGATCTAGCATCATGTTTATCCATAGCACTGTTTATCCTTTGCTGGAAGATCTTGGAAGGTATCTGTCAGGATTGCCATGGATTCTTAGCTCAACATATTTATGACAGTCGTTTCAAAGTGAGGTGCCCCAAGCATGGATGGTTTCAGATCCAAACAATGACCGACGACCCATCCGGGCAAAATTTGATCACGACGTCACGTTGCGACCTCACTGGAACGATGGTTATGGTTAGCAGGGGCAACTATCCCATACTATCCCCAAATGACCTTATTTCAGGCATTTTCAGGTTAGTGAATTTAGTGAATTACTATAATTTACCCAGACTCCATATCCACTTTTCTTGCTTAGATGTGGGTTGTCCGAACATAGGGAGCTTGAATATCGCAGTTTCTCACCGCAGGTGCTGGTTAGGAGTATCCTCTAGTTTTAGACAATATCATATCTATTTTATGTTAGAGCACTTTGTTCGACTATGTTTGACCCCCATTTCTGATGCGAAGTCCACTTCTTTTGGTGCTTAAACTTTCTTGTTTGCCAAAAAAATCACTTTGAGGGATAATCGGATCATCATCGGTTAATCCAATTGGTGCTTAACACGCTTCACACCCACATGATAGAGAAATATCATTGAAATATCATGAGTACAATCACTGAGGCATCCCACCTGGTGTCCCACCTTCGGCGTGAGGCCTCCAACCATCCGAGACGAAGGTCGTGACCGTCTGCTGAGACGAAGTGAGCACAATGCCAGGCGAAAGAGCGTGCTTTTCGGGTGCGAAAATTCGCACGGGGTACCTATATCAAGGGGGGTTCCATAAATGGGGTACCCAAAATGGATGGTTTATAAGGGAAAATCCTACTAACATGGATGATTTGGGGGTACGCCTATTGTAGGAAACCCCAAATGTTTGATTTACCCACAATAATTGGGTACCTTGAATAAATGGGGTACCCCATGGGATAGCTGTAGGTACCTATATTTGACCTATAGGCATTTGATTTATCGGCCCATGGAAAGGTGATATCTCCTTCACCGGTGATGTCGTTGACATTCGAACACGTTGGATGGATTGATTTGAAACTGGTTCTTCCCCAAAATCCAACCATGAATCATCATTGTTCTATCCGTGTTTTAATGACCATAAAATTGACATATTTCATTTTCTAGTGGCAAAATCCCAGGGCTGTTTGTTGGATCAATCTCATTTGTTGCTTAAACCACGTTCCATTCACATTGTTGTTACCCTCTCGTGATTTAATATAGCTATAGAAACTCACCATGTTGCATAGGCAAATCATGTAGACATGGGCCATTTTCCATAGCTATGTTAAATTGCCAGAGAGTATACCATCATGTATCACCATTAAATCACCATTAAATCACCGTTAAATCACCATTAAATCACCATTACATCACCATGAAATCACCATGAAATCACCATGAAATCACGTTTTTGTTACTTAAATCACCATATTTCCTGGTGACTTCATGGTGATCATCACGACGTTTCACCAGGGCGCGAGCGCATGCCGCCAAAGTGGCTGGATACAATGAGAGCGAGAGGACGTGGACGACGTGGCGGATGCCGGAGGGATAGTGTTTGAAACATGATAAATATATATATATATATAAAATATATATATTATATATAGGGATATTACATGATATCACCAATTCACCTAGATAATTTTCAGTAATTTTCCCCACTTGCAGTTAGATAATACTATAACATGCTCTAATTAATTTAATATTGGATGTATTTAATGACATCATCCAGGCAGAAGTATGTCCATCATGTTTCATAGTTCACCAACCCGACTTTTTTTTGTGATTCTGGAATCTTTTGTCTACTAACCATCATTTACAGTCACATAATTTGTGATGTCGTAGATGCTGGGCAGATTCAACCCATGTGGCTATGTCCCAGTTGCCTATCTGGAACGTTCAACTGGATTGAAACTACTGATAATGGTGACACATATTCAGATGTTGATGATGAGTCAGAGCGCAAGACAAAACAAAACAAACGGAGCAACTTACTGCTTGCAGGATAAAAGCGCGTGATGAATTTCGAAGGCCCAAGCGGTGTGATGGGTTTTGTAATGGACTTGAAAACCACCAAGTCGATAAGGCCCAGAATTTATTCCATGTGTCATTTGTCTTGCACATCTCACACAAATATGAACGATTTGAAGCAACAAGTCATTTCATGTCATGTCCAAGGTTTCGTTGCTGTTTCAGATAGGTAATCAAACATGTTGGTCGAACTTCACCAAGGATATTTTACAGTCACTAACCAGCACTGATAAACAGCAGCGGCGGTATTACCATCATACTCAACCAAGCTTTCGATTTTGGGATCTTCTCAAAGGGATTGGGATTCTATGTGTTTTACCAAAGACATCGATGGACAACAAAATCCCAAAAAACGATGGATGTCGCATCCAAAATGACCCAGAAATGGTCCCGGGGTAAAATGGGTTTAAAATCACCAGAAAATGGTGCTTAGTCTGTTGTGGTTGTTCGAAAAAATCAGACCGACTAAAATGCTCCGTACATCAAAATTCATGGGATTACTATACATATTACTACCATCAAAATTCTCGATGTCTGATTTCTGATGTATGAAACGTATGAAACGGTGACATCTCCCATGTGTTCGCCATTTCGATGTGCCGGATTGATTCCTCGGATTTTCCCACACCAACAGACACATAAGCCAGCAATGAATCCCCATGTTTTTTGGTACTTTAAATGTCGCTTTGTATAGTTGGATACCTCATTTCTGTAGCATCCATAAAGACTTGGGGAATCCCAATACCCATAGGATCCATGTATGCTATATATATATATATATACATATATATATATGGTAACATTTACCATCAATAGACCCCATTCTTTTTCCTCTGGCCTCTGAGATGATCTCGTGCCGACATGCAACACCAGCTTATCGCGGCTGGTAATCAGGCTTGATGGAACCGTGCTCAGCACAGGCACACAACAATGCCAATTCAAGCCCAAAAGGCTCGTCGCCATCATCGCCACAATTGGCAGGAATTCTGGTCGAGAGCACTCTACGCATCGCTCTGGCAAATCCAAGATTTAACGCAGCAGGATATTCCTTTGCTGCGGCCGTTTTGTAACGGCCAAATTGGTCTTTGCCAATCAAATGCGTCTCAGGGCGAGTCAGGTCAGGTAGCACGCAGGACCCCAAAGCCGCCGGAAGATCCGTGTTGGAGTAGAGCAGCGTGGTGGGTTTGGTGCCAGGGGCACCAAACCGCCATTGCGCTATCGTAGTTTGTCGAAAAATAGCGCCGGGACGTTGCAGGAAGAGCTTCATGATGCCCAATCGCCACACACTGGCATACTCTTCGTTGTAGGGAGCCGCCGGGTGTTCCAGCACTGTCACTCCGCCATGGAGATTGACAATGCAAGCCAACAAGAGGCCTTTGAGAAGCAGGCTGCTTCCCACAAATATCTGGGCCAGCTCAGGGAAGGTGAGGTGGTCGAGGCCCCAAAGGGAGAAAGCGCTCCTCACACCGGCACACCATCTTCATCCAATTGCTGATGATGACGTGCGGAGGTCCACGTCTCACACGGAGGACCTTGGATCAGACCAAGGACTCATCCTTCCCGGGCAATTTGCATCAGGAACGACCAAAGCTTCTGGTCGTGGACATCAAGTCGCTCATCCACTGCCGTATCAATAGACAGCACCCTAATGTGGAGGTCTTTGAACTCGGCAATCACCTTCTCAATCTGTTCGTGGAAGTCCTGGTCTCTGCGATGTCCAGAGTATAAGTGGATGATGTAGAAGGGGCCTTTCTCTGCCACTTTACCAACCACTGGTGCATTGAGAATTCGCCATCCAGCACGCAAATGCTCTTCCTCAGCCATATGCTTGTAATGAGAGATGATGGCATGCTCTCGGGAATATGGGCGTGTCGAGGCCGGCAAAGCGCGCTTTGGTAAATCGGGTTCATCAGGTGGCAGGTTCATTCGAAGCTGCACCAGTCGCTTCATTTGAAACCGCAAGTTCCACGAGGGTATGTCCTCAAGGAAAGTCATGTGCACCTCTTCCAAGGTGCGTGCCACATCAGGGTCCAGATCTTCCGGCCAAGCATCATAAAAAACCTGTCTCTACCCAGTGAACAAACAAGCGGCCACCAAGAAGTTCAGGAGCAGGGAGAGCAAAGATTGTGGCAAAGAACAAGTTGTGGAACGAAACCTCATCAGGAGCAACTTGGGCACACCATTGTCTCAAGCAATCATTGAATGCCTCCACGGCTGTGTGCACCAAAATAGGATCGCGCTCTGGATGCCACCACGCAAATTCATGAGCTCCTTCAAGACGTAGTGCACTAATGCGCTGGTTCAGTGAGATCCGCTGGCGCTGTGTGCTTGTCGGTCGTAGGGGCCCATGTAGCCTTCTGACTGCTGGAAGACGCTTGACATGTTTGAGGTGCTCAGGGAGCGATATCTTGACTGGGGTATCAGGCAAACGGGCACCATGTACGCGATCCCAGCATCCATTTGGGTGGTACTTCAGGTGCTGTTGCAAGCGCCAAGTTGTGTGGAAGTCCCTCAAACAGCCAGGGCAATTGGTCGACTGGATGTACGGTCTTTCATCAGACATGATCTTGTGCTTTTGGTAGGCATGGGCTGCACAAGCCTGCTTGGTGCGAAATGAGCAATCACAGTGAGCACAGCCAAATTTGGGGGCCTCTGGATCAGCAAGGTCATCGCCTTTCCACACATCCAAACCAAAATGGACAAGCTCTTGCACAATCAAACCATGGTAGTACTGGACGTCGCGCGCAATTCGTTCCTGAAGCACATGCTTCCTTTCAGCTCTGCGAACGCTGGCTTTCCATCTTGTGCAAGTTGAGAGGACATCCCAAATATTTTGCCATTGCAGGTTGGGGAAGTCAAACTCGAAGGGTAGCTCCACCAACGTACTCATCCAGGCAATGTCAGTAGCCACTTCCCAAAGCCATCCCTTGCTGGTGGCAAATTCCAGCAGCAGGCCTGTCTTGTGAAAGGGGGCAGCATGTTGGGCAACATGTTGGAGGTAGATGAGCCGGTTGCAAGCCCAGGTCACTCTGAAAGGTGACACCTCCAAATGATGTCGAAATTCATCGTCCGTCATCTCGGCACCATTCCAAAAACCGATGCCGGCTATGCGTCGTTGATGGTCGATGACGACACTGTCAAGCTGGAGCTGCGCAGTTCTGGGAACATCAGCCCAGATTGCACTCCCGTACATGAGCCGGGATACCACCAGACTGTTGTACAATTGAAGACGCCCTTTCAGGGGGATGTTGTGGTTCAGAAACAAAGGGCGTTTGAGTTCCTCAAAGGCCTGGCGAGCCATGGACATACGCAGCTTGATTTCATAGTCAATGTCCGCATCCATCATGAAGCGGGCGCCCAAGTGACGGTAAGTCGCCACTACCCTCATCGACAAAATATGCGACGGGGTACTGACTATGATCTTCGGCTGCCTTTCAGTGTCGAAAAGGACAGTGCGGAGCTTTGCAGCACCAGCGCCCCGATACATGATCACCGTCTCGGATTTGCCCTCCTCAAAATTCATGGTCATTCCGTGGGTTCGAAAAGTATCATGGAGGACTGTGATCACTTCTTGCACGACCGGGATGAGCATCGCCGGGTCTGTGACTGCGACAGGGATCGCGAGGTCGTCCACCCATGAAAGCGGTGGGATGGTCACACCAATAGCGTGGCAGCCACTGGTGTACGCTGGGATGTCGTTGAGCTTGTCTCCAATCTGCCACATCATCCTGGACATTAGCAAGTTGAAGCCCAGGTCAGCCAACGGGGAGCCTGGGCGGGTGCCCCTTGCCGTCACCGTCGATGATGTCTGCGACGCTTCCAGCTTGAACCATGTATCTTTTTGTGAATGTCATGTAGGAAGGTGCGCAAGGCCACTGGAATATCCTCCGACATCGTCTCGCAAGCCTCCTGTAGTTCACGAGCCAACTGTTGGAGATCGAACTCATTGGGATCAAATATTCGTTGGAGTTTGGCTTGCGTCGCCGGCTCCCTAATCGTGAAGATGAACTCCCTGAGCATGTGGTGGAAGGCGGCCTTTAAGTCGACAAAGATGGCGGCTGTTGACAGCCTGCGGGCTCTGCCAAGCTTGCCGTGCATCCTCAGCAATTGAATCGCTGTGATTGTCTGTTGGGAGGGAAGTCCTCCGATCTGACCAGGGGCTCGGCGCTGGAGTAGCGTTGGAAGCAAGCGCTTCCTGGCCCAGGCGTGCAACACCTTTCCAAACACATCAGCGAGGAGAATCCCCCGATATGAGGCCGGCAACTGCTGAGGAGAGCTCTTTTGCTTCCAGATGGGGACCAAAAGGCCGCCCTTGTATCTGTATGGCTCGATGCCGCTGACGAAGGCCTTCATGATGACGCTGTGGAGAAAGGGTGCAATGACCACTGCCGCATGGCGACATATTTCAGGTGGTAGTCCATCCAAGCCAGCAGCACGATGCGGTTGTTGGCGCAAACAGAGTTCCTCAATCTCGGCCAAAGTGGGAAGTTCATGCAGCGCAACATACTGTGGCATAAGATGTTCCTCCAGTTCCTGATTGTTGCGTTGTGCACATTGCTGTTTGGCAGTTGCATCCGGCATCTTCTCACCCGCTTCAAGCTCGGCGAAGTGCTGTTGGAGACCTTCACCAATGTCGTACCGCGCATGGAATTGCTTCATCCGATTCTTGGGAAGCACCGCTTTGACACGTTTCCAAAGGGCAGTGAGGCCTTCGTGTGTGTAGGCATGCCCCGACTCAAAAGCAAGCTGCTGATAAAAATGAGCATCTGCACATCTGATATCTGCAGTCACTTGCACCGTGAGTTTCTTGTACTCTCGGAGGGTGCAGGCAAAGGTGTGATCATGGAGTCGCAGCCAACCTCGAAGTTGATGTTGCTCCAGTGGTGATGAAGATTGCTGTGATCTCCACGCCGCAAAAATGGCTTGAGTGAGAGTGCGTCGCCAAGTATGTTTCAAAGTGCGCAAGTGCCGAAATGCCAGTTTCTTTTGCTGCACCTTTTGCCAAATCTCATTTGGAATATGTCTCTTGCGTCTCCATCGGTAGGTGTGTGGAACCAGTCTTTGAATGGCTCTGCCAACCTGATCCACAAGCCAATCGGCAGACTGATGCGGGTCAAGAGCCCAGGGGGCTTCAACAATTTCATCAGCTAGTTGGTGGAGAACAGCAGGATCGTGAAGTTTCTGTGCTAGTTCATGTCGGTCAATGCGCATTGGAGTTTGCCGTCGTTCTGGATGAAATGTCACCTCCTTGGAGAACCTGATGTCAGCCATGACCGCTGTGTGGTCTTCTCGGTTGCCACATAGATCTATTTGCTCAGCGACCCAGGTCGTCAATTTGTCGTAGTGGAGGAATTCAGGCACTGCAATAAAATCAATGCGTGTGCGGTGTTCCCCATCCGGTGAGCAGAATGTCGTAGACCTTTCACCAGTGTGAAACGAGCTCATGGTGCTGGGTGCAAGCAAATGATGTGTGAGCATCCAATTGTGAAAGACCTTGCCAGGATGGTTCTCACGAGATCCAGCGTGTGGGCCAACTGCAGCAGTTACATGTTCCCCAATGTGACCATTGGTGTCCCCCAAGAAGAACAGCAAATGATCTCGCTCATATGGCCGAACTGTCTGTGAAATGTACGCCCAAAAGTGTTCGGAGGCTTCCAGAGTTTGCCCACTGTGTGGTGCCCGACATGTGACAAAAATTGCACGAAAATGCAGCATGCATACTCTGGCAATAATGCACATGGGGTTGGAGTGCACAATGGTGATGTTCTGCATCACGATGCGGGGGCCGTCTTCATAGATAGGAATGGTTTTGGAGAACCACATTTGTATGCCATCTGTGCCATCTGAAGACGCAGCATGCCCCACAATGTGGTACCATTCATTGTTTGGATCAACAATTCGTCTATGACGTGTCTCCTGAATCCCAACCACAAGGCATCCTTCGTCGTGGAACTGCTTCTGGAGAATCCGCTGTTTGGTGCAGTTTGTACTGCGGCTCTTGTGGTCGTGGGAGAGGGTAAGCACGTTGGCTGTGGCCACTTTCATGTTGATCTGTATTGTGCTCCAGTCAATGGGCTGCTGACATTGAGCCGCTGGCTGAGTTGTCAAGTCCGTATAACTGGGGACATGACATTTGGTGTGCACCAGAGTCATGTCATGGAAAGCAGGCACGGTGGGTGCACTGTCAGCAAGGTATTCAAGATACCAGAGCCACTGGAGATACATCAGCGCCACAGGGTCGTGAAGCCATCGCAACCATGACTGAGACCCTTCCACTTGGCCGAAGTTTGTCGCTGCATATTTGGCCAAGGCATCAACGAGCTCGTTGAAAGGATGCTGGCTATGGGCTTTGATGTGGTTCCAGTGCAAATGCGAGTGCTTATGGCGTTGCTGTAACACTTGAGCCATTGAGCGGAGCAAAGTTCGCCAGTGGCCATGATCACGCGTGCGCCAATAGCCCGCAGCTTGGTACCCTGTATTCATGGCATCAAAGTTGAAGGCAAAGTGGACATCTTTGGTTCCAAACTCTTGAAGGCACCATTGGCTGATCCGGATGGCCCAAATGAGCGCCCAGGTCATAGCAGCATGTTCACCTTGAAACGCAAAGGTAGCACCTTCAACTGCTTTGGAAAGACATCCTGCAAGGAAAGTTCCTCCGTCAGTCTCCACGAGGCATGCAACGCCGGCTCCAACGTGGTCTTTGATGTGGGATCCATCTACAAAGAAGTGTACCATTCTGGGTTGCTCTGTACATGATGTACATGGAGCCATCAAAAGCTGCAGGTGATCATTTGTAACTTCCGGGAGAGCAAAATCCGCAGGCCATTCTTCCCATACATCCAATTGGATTTGTTGGAGTTCATACCAAAACCACTGCACCGCAGAGAAGTCCACCTGGGTATGGCTGGGCTTGGGGATAAGCTCTTCTAAGGAGAGCTGTTGGGGCTGCAAACCAGGTCGCTGAGCATGAGCCACCGTCTCAGCTGTTAGGCACCTGGATGCAGTTCGTTGGCCGGGAAGTTGTAGCATGGAGTCTTCATCATGGGTGACATCTGGGTTGGTCACTGTTTCCCACTCAAAGTCAGTGTCGGCATTGCTGTAGATTCTGGGGACCTGCTGTATTCTGTGGCCATCACGCAGACATCGAGCAATTGCTCTAGTAGGAATTTGCATCCGAGGGTGTGGAGGAAGATCAACTCTGACGTAGTCCCCATGTGATATGGGAAAAAGCACAGGGCTGCCCAATGGGATCACACGATTGTTGACACGTACGATGCAGCGTTGTCTGACTGCTGCACAGTATGGTTGAATGCCCAATTCTTCCAGCAGCACTCTACGTGTCATGTCCTTCCTCACCGCATGGGCATAGCGGTGGACATTGAGGTTTTGCGGCTGGTTCTCATGGAAAATGACATCGACCAGTATGCATCGACGAACATCACCTGGAGCAAAATCCTGTCTTTTTTGCACAATGGCCGCCCAAGTACCTGCAATCTGTAGGTCAGGTGGGCTTGTTTGAACAAGGTGAAGGTATTGGATTTCGTGTCGTTCAAGCTGAAGAACATGGCGCACATTGCTGTACGTTGAAGCCCATGTGTCAGATCGAATTCTCGCAGCTACCATAGGTGCTCTCAACTGAAAAAGGTGAAAGAATATCGATTGCACATCACTGTCATAGGTTGAATCAGCAGAGCTTGATGATGATTCCATTTCATCTTGTCTGACAGCTTGGGGCATGTCAAAGACTGGCTCCTGATCTTCAACCTGGTGGGGTTGATGCGCCATAAAGGATGCTGCGTCATCGATTTCTTCAGTTGGAGATCTGTAAGGCTGACGAGGAGATCTACTGCGGGGTCGTGGTGGATCATGCGCTGATGGACCATCTTCTTCTCCAGGATCTTCAACTATTGTGTCAGCAGAAGGGTGTAGTTCTTGTTGTGCTCGAATGTGAATCACGATTGAGGCTCCATGTGGGATTTGGAGAGGCTCCTCTGGAAGGTCCAAAACTGGACGCCAGCCATAGTATGCCTGTATGGTCCTGTGCTGTACCTGTGCAGGAATTGTTGCACGGGTGACTGCAGTAATTCGGTCAAGTTGGACAGGACCAAAGCATGCTAAACGCTGGAGCGCAACACGCTCGATGGAGTGGTACACATTCGTGAACAAAATTGCACATTCTTGTGGGCGCGCTTGTTGCGTCAGGATGATCTGAGCCGCATGGTCCTCATCGTCAAACGCAATGGGTGGATCAGGACTAACTACAAAGAAATCCACAGCAATGCCTAGATCAAGTTCAGCTGCCCAAGCATTTTGAAGAAGTTGAGGCCACTGTAGGAAATCGTCAGATAGTCGCACAGTTCTGGATCTTCTGCACTCCCTGAGGCGGTGCCCGTGAAGGTACCAGGAAAGGACGCTCATGCTTCTTGTTCCAGTGTGCACGTCGACTTCTCCAAATTGGTGCATGGCAGTCTCAAGGTCTTGAATGAATGCAGGTTGTAGCCGAATATCTTGCAGGTGTGGAGCTTGACGTTGTGCTCCATGTCCAAAATTGGCGTAAAAAGATCCATAAGCACCTTGAGAGTGTTCATCAGTCAAATGACTTGTGGTTGGCGTCAAATTCTGCCTCTTCCCGGCATTCGATTTCCTGTGGTGTAGAGCCTTTTCATGCGCTGAAAAATGCATGATGGTGCCATCTTCTTTTTGAGGTATTGGAGCATGGCTCTGTGTGGCTCTGTGGTAGAATACAATGTCCTTCAAAACCGCACATACTGTGTGAAAATCACGATGATCAGCATTGGGTCGCCGAGCCCAAGGTTTGCACCTCCCGGAATGCAGAGCTCCCTCATGCAAAAAGACGGTCTGAGTAGTTCCAACCTCATCCTCTGAAAGTATGAGAACTTCTATCTGAGGATAAAAAATCACCGTTCGGCCTAGTGCTTGCCGAGTCTTTTGCAAAGGCAAACGCTGTGCAGGGCTGGAACGGGAGATCAGAGAACTCGCATCTTGGGCATGACATTGTTGTTGTAAAAGGAAAGCATGATGTATCGCCATGAAAGGATGGAGGCAATCTGGATCAAATTGAACAGAATGGAGGGGCAAATCAGGAGAAATACCTGTCCAGAAGGAGAAGGATTCTGATGAATCCACCTGGCATGCTGCATGGCGCTCAATCCAAGATGGGACTGCTCCATAGGCATCAGCCGTGTGGCATGCATCACTTCTCCAGGTCAGTAATGGCACGTGGAACTCAATCTCGTTGAGACTCGGGTGTCCACTGCCCACAATCACGAGGCACCACCAGGCTCGCATGAGCGTGGGCGCTTGTGTTTGTGCGGCTCGAGGTCCATTTCCTCCACTTCTTCGTCTGACAACTCGATCGCTTCTTTGGCTGTTGACGCTCTGCAGCACTTCTTGAGGATTTTGTTGACTTGGCTTCGCAGTTCCGCTTCCTCTGCATCCTGTAGAGGCGGTTCCGAGGGTTCGTCCTCCTCGATGGTAACCTCCGGAACTGCAGTCTCGGCAGCTTGAGAATTCAGTCGTTGGAGGGCACGCCTGGATGTTTGAATCTCTCTGCGAGATTTCTGGATACGATCCTGGTAATCCTTCTGCTGATTCTCGAAGGCCTCGATCTGCTTTTCCAATGTGTTCATCAGATTGGAGAGGTGCGAGAGCCATGACTTCCGGTGTCGGCTGCGAGCATCTTGTAGCTGATGTAGAAGTTTGCGTGCTTTGCTGATAGAGTCTGTTGTGCGATGCATTTCCTTTCGGAGCTGCTCTGTAGTTTTGATCTCGTACTTGTCCACCATCTTCTTCACGTGCTCCGGCATTATCTGCGAATCTGTGTATGCAGATCGAAGAGCCGTCATCATCTCTGCTGTCTCTTCCGCTGTCATCTCGACAATCTCGGTGGATGAGGCAGCTTCCTTGGCAGTAGTGCCTGATGCTTTCCAGGGAGGCGGCATGGCCGGGGCTGCATATTGAGGAAGTTCCTCGTTTTGCTGCTTCTTCCGTCCACGCTGTCTGCGGTTCTTCCTGGCGCCCTCGGAACCACTTCGTGCCTGAGGCTGCTGATGTTGCTGTCGGCCTTGAACCTGCACATTTCTCACATGCGGCGATTTGCCACGTCCACGATTGTGGGGCGACTCGCTTTTCTTCCGGTCCGGTGGCGCGGGGGGGGTGTCTTGTGCCTTGTCCCATCTGCCTCCACAGTGAGGACAGTGGGGATGCTTTCCACTCAGTATCTTCCAGCAACGACGGCATCGCCACGATTCCGTCATTTTCCCAACTCCTCCACAAAGAAGACGTCGAAGTTTGGCCAGATAGAGGTGGTCTGCTGAATGATGTTGCGCAAGGAAATGAATATGCGACTTGATGCGGTCCTCGTCCAAGTAGATGTGGCCCTGTCGATGCAACCAAATCTGCCGACGAATGGAAGCACGTCGCCTTCTGTGTCGTCTGCGAAATGTTGGGGTAGCCGTGCTCGCTTCCAACTAAAATCGAGAAGACCAATGCAATCAAAGAGATCAAAATTGTTGACATACATCATACACCGGGATGATGTGAAGGTCCGCGATGTAGTATAGTTACGGTTTATGGCAGTGTACCGTTAACCCGTCCTCTTAGCGAGGGAAAAGCCCAAACCAAAATTCCTCAGGATAAAGACGATGTCCTGAATCCAGCAAAGAGGAAGGTTATGAGCGAAGGTGTTCAGGGCTAGCTCAAAACCCTGAGAGCACAAGTGAGGTAAACCAATAGGATATTGCCCGCGGCCAGCAGAAACGTATGGCTGCAAACCGCTAGGGTTACACGAGTAAGCGAGGGGATGCTTGACCCGAGAACCTTAGACCCCATTCATGTTAGCATATATACCAGCACCATGGATCCGTCATGGGATATTCAGTGGTTCAGCAGCCTTTTCGTGGAGCTGGCAGGGAAAAGTTCCTGTCACGTCGGAACTTCCTGGACGCACTGCACGACAGGGAGGAGTGACCTGGCTCGGTTTCTGAAATAAAATGGAAGTACTCCAAATTGATGGTTTTTTAATAGGTTTTTTTTTCGAAATCAAATGGATGATTTGGGGGTGCCCCCATGACTTGGGATACCTCCATATGTGTTTTCAGCATGGGAAAAATTAGGTTAACGCAGGAAATAGAGGGGGTTAAGCATCAAAACAGGGGTCAAACCGGAAGGACATTGGAATTCAGCCAGCAACCCATGGTGAGTTGACGGATGGGTGTGGATTTAGCCATCAATAATTGATAAACATTGGTTGTTTTATTGACCAACACTGAGTTTGACAAGCACCAAAAACAGGGACAAACTGATTGGTTGTAATTTGATACGTAAATCTTTTGAGGTTCCTACCCAGCTGGAGATTTGTTGAGCGCAGCTTTGTACGCTGGTCTGAACGCCACACTTACGAAGCTTGAGAGACTGCGAAAAAAGAGACGATAACCATACTATACCCATTACCCTTTGGTAAACTAACAGTTTGCTATTGAAAATTGCAATTTATAGTTGATTTACCTATTAAAAATGGTGATTTTCCATTGCTATGTTAGTTTACCAGAGGGTACTAGAAAGATGAATACATTCCAGATTCTAGATGTGCATCCTCGATGTATGGATCTGTTGTATATTCGTTGTGTGCTGGAGCGAAGCCTCTTCTGAACTTGAGACATGTTTATGTTCCAATATGACGTTTCTGCCGCATGAAACATCATCAAGACATGCAAACTTGATCAACCAAAAAAATACCTACCTGGGTGAGCTAGGTAAAAGTTGAGTAAATTGCAGCATGGTTTGATTTAATCAACATGTAGTAAGTGGGCAAATCTCCTTACAAAATTCAGTTTTTGATCAGCTGAACTAAGATCCCTGAAGCTCTCGAATGGTTCGCAACGAGGTTATGGGACCCAAAGTAGATAATGTAACGAATGGTAACGAATCAAAGGTGGCTAGAGACTGGCTGTGAAAATCTGAAATCTGTGGTGTCAAATGTGTAGATTTCCAGACATCGTGGGATGATTCTCCCTAGCCAACTACTGTTGTTACATGTTCTTTGCAACAGATTTAATGTGTCTGAGAGTACCATCACATTAGACTCTATGCAACATAAAGAGAACTGATTCATAAAGAGAATTGATATTTCACCATGAAATCATGGTACAAAAAGTCCATCATTTCCCCATCATGTTTTCCCGCATTTTCACCTCAAGGCGGTGGGTCTACAAGACGCAGGCCTGGGGGCCTGGGCCGCCTCCAGGAGGATGATCAGTTCGAACTTTCAGGGAGAACATTTGAGACTTAGATGGACGACTTACCCTCTGCTAAACCAACATAGCTATTGAAAATGACAATTTTTTGTGAGTTTTCCCATTAAAAATGGTGATTTTCCATAGCTATGTTAATTTACTGGAGGGTAATCAATGATTTCTCTTTAAAAAAACGGGACGACTTAAAATGGGAATATGTGGAATGTGTGGAATGTGTCTTTTAGGGACCATAAAAATGCTAAAAATGCCATTTGAGTTTCTGCACATGTCCACATGTCAGGATTGGGAATCTCCAAACCGCAGGGGGGTCCGGATTTTCTCAATGATTTTTGCGAGTTTATCATCTGGTTATTTAACATAGCCATGGAAAATCACATTTTTTAATAGGTAAACCATCTATTTCTATGGGCCATGTTCCATGGCTATGTTTAATAACCAGAGGGTAAGCGTGCTTGTGTTGACAGCATATTATGTCTATGCTGTGGACTTCTCTCTCTCTCTCTCTCTGTTTGTCTGTTCCATCCCAGCTTTCCAAACATCCAAACTTGCAGATCCTGAATCGGATGGAGACATCAAGTATATTGAATTAGTAGATGTGTTGTTCTTTGAAAAGTTGTTTCATGGACCTGGACCCCCAAAACAACATCAAACAACCAGACATATCCAGAACATCAAGAAATATATGGTTGTTTCATGTCATTTCCCAACCTACCGTGAAGGATCCCTAGAAACGCTTGGAACTGGGGCTTCCCAATCCCGCATGGCGCTGATACTTCTGGCCACTGGAAGACGGCAAAAAATCCCAACCACTGGTGATGAAAATTAACTGGGAATTCCGACTGACCAACTTCACTTTACATACTTCAGTGATGAATAAACTTTAAATATATCACTTGAAATAGTTCAGTGTTGAAAAAGTTCACTTTAAATATCTTGCCAATATGTGAAAAATCTGATTCTAGACATGAAAAATAAAATAAATAAACACCGACATGACTATTAGCTATCATATTTCATAATATTTCATATAGATAAAAGACAACGTGTTTTAGGATTTTCCAAGTAGTTGGTCTGTCAGGATAGCCCCTTCTATGAAGATCTTTGGGCAGAGGATGATAGGCGCGGTCCGTTGAACCGTTGGGCTCTGGGATGACCGCCAAAAACAGCAGTTGAAAACATGGCTGTTTGAACTTGTAACACTTAACAGTCAACATATATACTGGTTGGTTGTTTGGAACATGAATGGATTATGACTTTCCATTCAGTTGGGAAATTCATAATCCCAACTGACGAACTCATATTTTTCAGAGTGTGTTGAATATATTGAAAATTGTTCAGCATATTGGAAGGATTTTTCATAGCCATCTTTACTGTAATTCATGCTGGACGTATATGGCATATTTCTTTATTAAATTCCTAGGGCCATGGCGGCCATGATCTTTTCATTTTGGATCACCACAAGGAAGCCACTTAAGGAAGCTGAGAGTCATGCCATGGTCAATTGTATGGCCATAGTGGGGGATGCTCATCCATCCGTTTTTTGTTGATTTATAAAGCTAATCTAGGATGCCCATATGCGAACATATGCGAACCATGGTGCTGGTATTTTTACCTACAGAACTGGGTCATAAAAAAAAGGTGAATGTTGGTAAATATTCCAGCACCATGGAGCATATGGGATGGATAACCCTCAGCCACATAGCAAATCATCAAACAAAAACCACTAGTGTGACGAGTAACTACCCAAAGTGATCCAAAGTGATATCCAAAATGCCAAAAAAAAATAGGTTGATGGATTCTTTGTTGCTTCCACATAGCTTGGGCAGGTTGATAGGCTAGCTCTTTTCTAGAGGAATATATAGTGACAAACATTTTTTGGGGCTATAAAATCAGTTATGTTGACCATGAACTGCTACCATTAATTCTACATGGTTGTTTTAAGAAATTGCGGATCATTACTCTCTGGTACTCAAACATGGCTATATGTAGCTGGATAATCATGGGATCGAACTATGGAACTAACTGTGGGACTTTCCAGCCATGTGACTGATTTTTCGGCAGACCTCAGGATCTTCCACCTGAACATCAGCCGGAACAAGGAGATGCAAATACAGCCCTGGCCTTAACGGAAGCCTACGATGAGAGAATTGGGGGATTTGTTTCCTGGGAGTGCTGCGGAAATTTGGAGAGAAGGCTCTACTGAAATCTGTGATAAATGTTTTTGAAAATACATGAACATGACTTTACTCGAGGGTATCAAGCTTCATATTTTAGCATCCCTTGCGAACGAGTTTCTGAAGGCGACGGTTCTCTCACGAGGTGGGGTATACACCAAAACGAGATACTGTGGAAAACATTGTTTCCCATAAAATGGTGAGTCTAAGTTTTACCACTGTTTTAGTATGTTTTTAAATATATACATATATATATATTAAATAACATATAATTACTAGGATTTTGCCCGAGTCGATCTTTTTGGTGCTCTAAATCCAGCAGATTGCCACGTGATTTCACCACAGGTGGCTCAATTTCCCCCGGTAACTAACGCGCCTTGTCCCTGCGCCTCGCCATGCCATCCAAACGACGCAACAACGGCCGCTCCAAGCACGGCCGCGGCCACACTGTCACTTGTTTGCCCCATTTTAGCGGGATATCATTGGATCTTCAGCAAGACATTGGATTTGTTCCACAACTGTTGGTTTGAGCAAACATTGAGATTCTGAATTCAATTTGCACCTATTAAAAATCATTGATACATATGAATCATTAGAAAACATATACATATATGAATAATTATGAATCATGTTCACAACTGCTTGAGCAAACATTGAAAAAAGTTGTTCTTTTTTCAGTCACCTGGGTGTGCCTGGGGCGCCAGCTGCCGGGTACCCCTGCAGTGGCTTAAGAGTTGACCACTGCGGCGAATCCCGAAAAACTGGGGGAGCGACCTCACAAACTGCGGTCATGATAAGCTGGGGCTAATATATAATGATAAGCTTGGTCACTAAGGTTATTCATTATAGGTTATATAATGTTATATATGATATAAATGTTAAAAGATCGCTAGCGGAGGGATTGTATAATATATTATAATCATATGTACTACTGCCCGAGAGTTGGTTAAGAATCCGAAAACTTGAGGCCCAGGGTCCCTCAAATTCTTATGTTTAAATGCAGGCAAATTTCCACCTTAAGTCGAGGGTCCCTCAAATTCTTAGAGCATTCTTAGTTATGTATTGTGTGCATCTGCGCAATTTGGAGCGAGCAATAGTAAAACACACACATATATATATATATAGTATTATATTATGTTATATTATTTCACATTATACATATATATACATTATTTTATTTACTACATATATATATATTACGGTATATTATATATATATATTCTACATGTCACACAAAAATCTATGTCCGATTGGTAATCCGGAGACCTCATCAAGGCCATTGTCCGCTGCTCCAACTGCTGCCGCTGCGTGCCCAAGGAGCCGTGCCCACCGCAGCATGGTGGTAGATTTGAACAGCAAAACATCATACACTGGAGATGGTAACTATGGTAATTTAACGTAGCTATGGAAATTCACAAAATGTTAAATAGGTAAATTATTTGTGAAATTGGCTATATCTTACTCTATTCAATCTCTTCAGACTATCCATAGCTGGTTGGTGGTTTGGAACATTGATTTTCCATATCTTGGGAACAATAATCCCAACTGACGAACTCATATTTTTAAGAGGGGTTCAAACCACCAACCAGGATAAGAATTGGGGCCCCTAATTTCTTTAGAAATGATTAGAAATGGGGATAGACATCATATAAGAAGCAGGAACATTTGAGTAGAATTGGAGCTCGATATGCAAGATAATTGAAATTACTCGAAATTCACTGGGCTTTATGGCAACTATAGCTAGAGTATTCATGCGGTGAAACTACACATTTTGCTTAATGGGGGGGGAATAAAGTGAATTAAGCAACAATCATACAACGAACATTGAGATTTTAACAATCAAACCCATGGATTGTTGTTTTATTCAACCCATAAATTCATAAATATCCATAAGTGATTAAACTGATTAACAATCCATGGATATCCATGGTTAAATATCCCATATATTCATAAATATCCATAAATACCCATGGACATTTCAATAATCAATTAAACTGATTACGGATCAATTATGCGCGCCATTGCGGTGGGATTCATCCAAAAAGAAATGACTATCTTGGAGGCTTGATGTTGAACCACATCTTGATGAGTGATTTCTCCATCGGGTAGCCCTAGATACTTTCTGCTTAGATACAAGCAACTTGGATACGATATACCTGGGATATTGGATACTACTAAACTATATAGTATACTAATTGCATGGATACTGACTGAATATGTACTTGGATATGACTCCGTATTGTTCATCCTGAGAGTTACATGGTTCTGTACTAGCGCCTTTGTAGATACCAACCACTACAGTATGATCCATCCGCACTCGAATGTAGGACCACCGTGGCACTTGGTCACCTCTTTTTTTCCGGGTGCATCATGTTTGGCTGAAAATAATGAATACATATGAATACCTGGTTGTTGGTTTGGAACAGTTTTTAATATTTGTTATTTTTCCATACATTGGGAATAATAGTCCAAACTGACGAACTCCATCATTTTTCAGAGGGGTATACAGGTAGGTATACCACCAACCAGATACGATATTCCACTAACTTTATAAGTTTGTGCAGGGTATTTATTTTGTTCGCCCTGGGAATATCTAGCTGATTATGTTAGCTCAGTGTGGGGACGACGTCACGACGTGCCAAGTCTTTGTAGGTTTTTATCAGCAGATGGTCGCCGATGATCTCTTACCCATATGCGAACCATGGTGCTGGAATATTTACCAACATTTACCTTATAAATGACCCAGTTTTGTAGGTAAATATACCAGCACCATGGTTCGCATATGGGTCGGTGATTTCTTGGTGATTTCCATCACTGAGCGCCTGCCCAATCATTGAGCCAGTTCCTGTCCGAAGACTGTGATCTAAAGAGTATCCCATCCATCTTTTTGTGGGAAAAAACATGGTGAATGCTTATAGCATTCAAACCGGTTATGAGCTTAGATATGATTGATTGACCACCATTTTGAAATCCACTCGTTTGATTCTCGCATAAATTCACCGCTTTTTTTCTGCTTAGATTTTCCATTGTTTTGTTGCTCCTCTTTTCAAGATGTTCTGCTCCACCTAGTCCCAACTTCAAAAAGCTCCTCCAAAAACCTCCAATGGAATTGGTTGGCCACAGACCTCCAGCTCCAGGACAAGGCCATCAAGCGCTTCCAGGTGCGAAACATGGTGGACGCCTCGTCTCAGCGAGACTTGAGGGAGGCCAGTGACTTGGTGACCTTTGTGGAAACATGTGGAGACCAAAGGATGATAGTTTGACCATGTTTGACCCATTAACCAAGAAACATGCAGGCCAGAGCTACGAAACCAGCCCCTAAAAGCTTCATCCACATACCAGTATTCATCAGCCACCGGATGTTGCCTCTCCCTTGTTTATGGTTAAAACCATATAATGATAATTATATATATATATACATCATATATAAGTCTTTATTGGTTGACTGACCATTTTGTTGTTTGTTTGCTTGACAAATTCCATTCGATGGTTCGTAAACTCCAAGTCTCCAAGTTTTCATTGCTGAAAAACCAAGGAAAACCCAACTATATCCAGCTTATTTAAGGTAAATCCCAAAGTTTTTCTTGGTCGAAAACTAACCCCCCCCCAGTTGTTTGATTTCTGAGGTGTGTACCAGACCTTTATGTTTCTGGGCTGCAGAGATGGATTCCAACACCTTTCCTGTCGACAGTCTTGGACTGGGTGCTGTGAGGTTGCCCAAACTGTACATGAAGATGCTCTACTGTTGCTTGGTGGAGACAAAGCGTACATTGGCACGTCCGTGGTATCGGGGGATATATTTCATGTGGGGCAAGTATCGCGCTCCGTTCAATTCCGTTTGTCTTGGTCCTACTCTCCTAACCGTTTTGGCCTTCGCAAGACCTGAGTAGGTGATCATCCGTATCACTTTGAGGCGTCCTTTACCAGGCTCTGGAAGGTTGCGTTCCAGAATTCATTGGCATTGTCATGTTTGATCCATAGTTCTAGCAACGTTCTAGTCGTGGCAGATTTCTGAGGGCGATCAGCAAACCAAAAAGCTTTAGTTTTAGAGTCTTGAGTCCTGAACAGAATGTCCTGATGCTGTTGTGGCGCTCAGCAACTGGCGGGCCAGGGTCTGTTGATAGATCCCGAGGTATTTGTCAGTTTTGGAGCAAACCTTTCGTGAGTTTTTTTTGATATTCTTATTGACTTATACTCTGGATCCCTTTGATTTTTGTTTACATTGTTTAGACATTTTTTGGGTGGGTTCAATCAAACATTTCACCTGGTTAGGTCACTAGTTCACCGAAAATCCCTGGTGATATCCACGACTCGCGACCCAAGGTGTGTCCTGCGCCATCCACGGTCGCGTGGTGCGCGTGCGCAACAAGGTCTTGCGGGCCAGCCCGGAAGGTGCCAACGGGCACGGCCAGGTGGTGATCGACCAGGTGGTGAGTGGTTGGTGAATCTTGTTTAATTAGAAACCAATAGAAGTTCTGCATAGTTTGGTGATGGTTCCCATCAGATGTTCAGATGATGTGTATAACTACAGGTGTAATATGGTGTAGTATGGTTACAGGTATTAATACCAGCAACATCCAGATTTTCTACGGGTGCAAAGTCAACTTTACCCAAAAAAACTGGCCATGTACTCTGCAGATTGATGAATCATAGGCGAACGTGGGTACTTGGTGGCTCCTCCCACTTCGCGAGTGTTTTTTTAAACCCCAGTTATAAGTGGATTAGCCGTACTTATCCACTTATGACTTGGGTCATGTTATGTGATTATAGTCGTTATAGTTTTGCTACAAAAAGGGTAGCAGGGTAAACGCAGAAGAATTCGTCTTGGGGCCACGCTCAGGGATCTGATTTTGTTTTAATCAAACAGCACTGTCCACAGATTTGCATATCATGGTATGTTTTCCGCACAAATACACTTGCCTCAGCATCCAGTATCGCATAGATGTCTCATTCTCGTTGTTTTAGTTAACCTGATGAATGCACAAAAACTTTCCGCAATGACTTGTGACCCATGATGCATAACACAAAAAAGGATCCACAAATTGGCAAATCATAGTTCTGGAACATTTATACATTCAAGGCCCAAGGCTGTTGCGGACGGTTGCGGAAGCCACTGACCCGCAACCGTCAGTCTCTCTTTGCCACACCTAGTTTTTGTTGCTTCATATATAAATATATGCATTATCTTCGCACCAAATGAACCAAAATCTCAGTTATTATTGCTTATAATTATTGCTTCTGTGCATTACGTGTCCAAGTTGTTTCCATGTTTTTTCCCATGTGTTTTTCCATATTTTTCATGATTCCTCAAGTTTCCCATGTTCTCTGAGAACTTTCCTCCATCTGACCGTGGCTGACGACAGCTTCGACAGTCGGCTCAGGTCGCGTCTACAAGCCCCCCATGGGCAAGGCCTGGCTGGATATCTCCATTCTCCAGAGATCTCCTGGTTGGTGGTTTCAAACATGGCATTTATGTGCCATAATATACTGGGAATAATCATCCCAAGCAACTGACTATTTTTTTTCAGAGGGGTTGAAACCACCAACCAGTTACCATTTGACTATTCATATATGAGATGTCATCCTTCCCATTGAGGAACTCATATTTTTCAAGGTAGTTAAAACATGTTAAAACCACCAACCAGTCTCATATGATATCTCATATGTAATACATATGGTATGGATATCTGATATGATATCCATATTTAATATTTCATGGGGATATAATATGAGATATTCTTCACTTGAACCAAGCCATTGATGGTGCTAGGATTGGAGATATCATGGGGGTTGCCACGGTAGCAGGGGGTTGACCCATGCCTACCTGGGATATGTGATTTGGGCGGAACTACTCACTTTTTTAAAAGATGTTTTTGGATACTTAGCGAAAGTGCAAAGCATTTAGATGGACTGTCTAGAGTCTAGAAGTTGGTCTTTGCTTGAAAGTAATTTTATTTGGCGGATGTTCTATCTGCAACCAAATCCTTATGTATCATCATACATTGACGTAGCTGGACAGATGAGCTATTCCTTTTCGAGCTTGTTCACGGTCAAGGTCATATAGGAACTTCCAAATTCCACAAGCTTACCAGCTGTGTTTTGTGAATGCTGGCTAATTTGGGGAAAATTGCAAGTGCATGGACTACATGTTTGCCATACTGATGCATATCTCATATCTTGTCAAGTAAGGACACTTTTTTCCGCAGGAATCGCTACAGCTAGGCAATCATCAACAACAATGCGAAATGGTAGTGCTCTTCTGAACCATAGAGACTAAACTAAACATAACATATTGACAAGATTATCGTTTTAGCTGGGTATGATGTCTCCATACGTGGCATTGCCAGAAAATATGAACCGCTGTTGGCATACAGCAGCCTTCACCAGCGCCGCTATGCGCCGCTACTGCTGCCGCATTAAAGTTACACTCGTTCTGACCATATCCTGATTGATTTTCTCGGAAATCAATCCAGTTTTTCCTCACCATTATTTTATTGATTGTATCGCCATTCTGTTGGCGAAACCTTTATTTTGGAGGTCAAAACTCAATTGTTGCTGCGGAAGTTCTGCTTGACTAAGTCTATTGCCAGGGCGGAGGCAAGGGCAACTGAGCAGAACCGAAGACAGCGTCGCACATCGCTCCGGGGGGTCAGAAAAAACTGCGGAAGCACTGGGGTTGAGATTTGATGAGAATTAATGAGATTTAAAGGGATTTCATTCGGATATATGATGGTATACCCTTTGGTTGTTTAACATAGCTATGGAACATGGCCCGAAGAGATAGATTATAAACATGATGATTTATGGACCTATAAACAAATGTGATCTTCCATAGCTACATCAGATTACCACAGGGTTTACGGGTATATGATTTTGATCGTGGGATATGAAAGTCTTGAACCAACTGAGTGACGTGATTTCTTCATTCACCAAGAGCAAGCCAGTGTAAATACGTCAGTATAATATGTATATATATATATTATATGATCATTATTAATAATTATTGTTATTTATAATCACCATTTTTTATAATAATTATTATTGTTAGTGTTTTTGTTGATAACAATAATTATTATTGTTAATTATTACTATTATGAATATTATATATATACAAGTGTATTTATATATACACACATCGATCAAACATGATCAGGAAGGATAATGTTTTTCCCTGCCTAGTATTTCGACTGGCAGTTCACCATGGTGTATTGTACCCCAAAATTTAGTATCAAAATGTTCCCTAAATCCACCAACATATTTCACATCTATGATTTCACTGCAGGTGGCTCAATCTCCCTCGCCCGCGCCTCGTTCTGCCCGCCATGCCATCCAAACGACGCAACAACGGCCGCTCCAAGCACGGCCGTGGCCACACGGTCACTTGGTGAAACCCCCAATCAATTCCGATCGGCAAGCCGCCGGCCTGGACATCGTATGACAACCAAAAGATATGCCATGTCTAGTCTGCAACCAGGTTTTGGGTTCCAAGCCCCTGGGCCACTAGGCCATTGTGCGCTGCTCCAACTGCTGCCGTTGCGTGCCCAAGGAGACCCCATGCCGATGCTGGTGATAATCTGTCTGTTCGGTTGATCCAAACCACATAATGAAAATCAAATTTCTTAATTTTGCTGCTTAAATAACTATATACTGGTTGGTGGTTTCAAACATGTTTTATGTTCCATTTCATATATGGGATGTCATCCTTCCCATTGACGAACTCCATGATTTTTCAAGATGGTTATTGCACCACCAACCAGTATATATTATTATTAACCATTATTAACCATGATTAACCATTATTAACCATGGAAATCCCATTAAATCCCATTAAATCAATGTTCAGTCACCGGTTGCTGGACGGATTCACTCAAAAACAGTGAGCAGTTGACCATGTTGACCAGGACAAAGCCATCAAGCGCTTCCAGGTGCGAAACATGGTGGACGCCTCGTCTCAGCGAGATTTGAGGGAGGCCAGTGACTTGGAGGTGACTTTTCTGGTGGTGAAGACTGTGAATATCCAATCATGCTGGTGAAGACCATGTTTCATCAAAGGAAATTCGTGTTTTTTTGTGACTTTTGTGGGATAATATAGGAAGCTCGTGGTATCAACCATGGGGGAACAGTCTTTGAGAGAAGGATGTTAGCACCTTCATCAGCCATCACTGGATCTCCCTTTGTTCTGGATTCGTCAGCCGTTTTGAAACTGATCTCATCAGTTTCATCCTATTTTTTCTTGTTGATTTGCAGCGATTTCCAACGTGTTTGAATTTGGATGAAATCCCACAGTTTTTGTTGGTCGAAAACTAACCCCACAGTTTCATGACTGAGGCGTGTACCAGACCTTTATGTTTCTGGGCTACAGCTGGACCCAGGGAACTGGGAAAATCATTGAACAACTTCAAATCTTCAGAAAAGATCATATAGATTCTGGATGAGTCACAATAACCACACGTCATGACGTCACTGGACTGATGGTTCGTACGGGGAATCATCCCCTTTTATGGCCAAAAATCTCGACTATTTCCGTGTCAGTGATGCCCTTTTAAATTTCAGCCAGATTGGGATTTGTTGGGATTGGAATCCTAAACAGATCATGGAAACCTATAGGTTAACCTATAGCTGGATTGTAATACGATAGATATGCTGATGTGTTGACTAGAAGAATTCGGATATTCATTGGATATTCAATAGATCAGATAGATATAGATATTCTATAGGATATCATATCCATTCATATCCATTCACAATCACAGGATCAGATATTCTATTTTGTGATATTCTAAGGATGATATCTCTAATTATCATATTCAATATCAATATCCTAAGAATATTCTAAGGACCTTAGATATCATATATTCTATTATTCAATATCAATATCCTATATTATTCGTTGGATATTGATATTCTAAGGTCATCAGCCTGGGGACCCTGGGGATCACAGGATCTTCCATGGTCAAGTCATTTGGGGTTGGCGGAACTTTTGACGCTTGGAACCTCCCGAACTTGACCATTTTCATTAATACGTCTATACAATAATTAGATCTATATATTATTAAGTATTATTGAGTATTATGAAGTATTATTAAGTATTATTAAGTATTGTTACGTATTGATCTAGTTACTACTATTACCATTATCCTAGTATATCTGGAAATGTTCTTTTGTCAAACCAAAGTAAAACTTTCAGGGGGTTCATCTCTGGGAATGAAACGGGGAGTGAACTCCATGGCTGGCCTGCTGACCTCTCCAATGCTGCGCCAACAATTTTGAGGTTGGAGCCCGACAAAAGAATCGCTATGTCCGAAAACAGGGACCACCAAATCCATAATTTTCAGAGAAACCCAAATGATGCCTGGACTAGCAAAAACCCATCAAGAGTGAACAACGAACTTGTCATCTTGTCTTTCTCCCACAGGACAATGGAGGTAGTACATCCTCGTTTTGTTCAAAATCAATGGGGACAGTAAATGATTTCAACATGGTATCATCCCAAAGCAATAGCAACATGTTTCCCGTACCAGGACATGATTGGATTGTGCTTTGGGATGCAGGTTGCCCAAGCTGTACATGAAGATGCTCTACTGTTGCTGGGTCAAAAAACTGACATTGGCACAGGCACAGCTGTTCGAACGGAAGTGGGACCAGGTCCACAATTTTTGTCAGCAAGTTGGATTGGCCATTGAGATTCGGAGGTTTCGATCAATTGGAAAATGGATGGATTATAATGGAAAATCCTATATTAAAATGGAAGTTTTATGAAGATTTGGGGCATCCCTATTTTAGGAAACCACCATTTTTGGTATGGTTCAACCAAGGGCTAGCAATGACCAACAAATTTGGTTCCATTTTCCACAGCTGTGGTGGAACTAGGGTGCTCCACAAAAAGGGTCCGCAGTGCCCAGGAGTCTTCACGAATTCCAGTTCACAGACTTTATCATATCATTTTAGTGAGTTCTCTAAACTATATACGTATTAATATACATATCTGTATTGGTTAACCACTTGATATTAAACACCATATTAATATAACACTATATATCTATATTAACTATGTTAGTGGTTAACCTATACATACCTATTTACACACCCCTTTTGATGTGATTTTTAGGTTAACACGTATAGTTTTCACCAGTCGATCCGCTCCCTGATACCCACGACAAAGGCGACCCGCTAGGTGTGTCCTGCGCCATCCACGGTCGCGTGGTCCGCGTGCGCAACAAGGTCTTGCGCGCCAGCCCCGAAGGTGCACGTGGCATACCAGGAATGATGAATGGTTGGGAAATGAAGGGTTTAGCCAACAGAATCTTGGCAGGTTTACCAATGACTAAAGTGGTGATAGAATCCATGCCGTAGATGATGGGTATGTTGCTTAGATTTGGTGGGTATATTAAGCAACATGGGGAATTTCAACACGCCAAAATGGCTTGAATCCTCATGGTAGTTATTTTCGGGCTCATATCCCAAGCTATGGGGGCTTATTGATTATACCTATAAATATAAAAAGTCACCTCAACTGCCCAACAACTTTTCCCATGTTGTTTCATGGTGCTTATTCCTCATTATTCCCCCATTTTATTTGGTCGCCTTTCACCATTTGTGAATGGCTTCCCCTTGTGGAAACTTCCTCCTTTCCAGGCCGCATCTACAAACCTCCCATGGGAAAGGTGCGAAGCCGGAGATCCCATGGAAACTGGGAGAATTGTGGGGTTTCTCTGTTTTTTTTTTAATGGATACCTCTGGTTACTTAACATAGCCATGGAAAATCACCATTTTTAAGTTCGGTAAACCATCTAAACCAGAGGGTAACATAGTTGGTGAAGTGCATAAATTAAACTTTATTAAACTTGATATAACAATCAATGAATTGGGGAGATATGGAGATGGCTATGGTTCACCAGTCGGACCAAGGAAGGGGATGAACACGGAGCGTCAGAGTCTAAGCGTTAGATTCAAGTTGGTGGATATCCTATTTGCAACCACATCATATTTATCAAACAAGTACATGTTGAAAAGCATTGCTCTTAGGTAAAAACTCCACATATCTCTATCATCATCAGTCTACATTCTACATGTGCTTTTCATGTTGAAAATCTCCACATGTTCGACACAGGGCGGAGGCAAGGGCAACTGAGCAGCGACGAGTCAAGCAGAGAACCGAGACGACAGCGAAGCGCACATCGCGCAGAGGGTCAGAAAAAGCAGCGGAGCTCACGCCTGCAACGGGCACCGTGGGGAAGTCTTGTTATTGATCTATGTCTATATATATATACATAATTATAGATAGATGATAGATGGATGGATAGATAGATAGATGGATAGATAGATAGATGGATGGATAGATAGATGGATAGATAGATGGATGGATAGATAGATAGATAGATGGATGGATATATAGATAGATAGATAGATAGATGGATAGATGGATGGATAGATGGATGGATAGATGGATGGATAGATGGATAGATGGATGGATAGATGGATAGATGGATAGATGGATAGATGGATGGATAGATAGATAGATAGATCGATAGATCGATAGATGGATGGATAGATAGATAGATAGATATGTAAATATATAGATACAGATAGTAACCCTCCAACAGATGATAAGATATGGACAGGATTGCCAGGATGGTAGGTCAATGTGATGTCTTCGCCATGTCTTTTTCCTTAACAGGGATCACCACAGTTGAACTAATGACGGCTTGATGATTTGGTTAGGGATTGTTGAACCAAAAAAGGGACCTTCAACCTTTAACCAACATATCAAAGACAGGAATCTATCCAACACAAATAGAAATTGCACATGGTTGAAGTCATTGGGAAAACTGGCTGGTGATAGCCTTGCTAGCCGGACGCTAGCCTCCGGGAATCAAGTTGATGTGGATTTTCCAGCTTGCGTTTTGTTACCTGACGGTAGGTTTTTTACACTCGTTCAACAGGGGGTATCTTGGGGTATCTTGGCGATTGCCCTGTTGAGCGGCAAATTTTGATCTGCTTCAATGGGATGGAAGAGGACAGGATGTTTCGAGAAAGGGGAGCAGCAATGGACAGACCAATGGGCACTGGAAACCAATACCTCCCTAGGTAGAATCACATGAGAAAAAACCACATGGTATTTGGACCAATCGTCTATTGATCATTGTTTTCAATCATATTAGACTCCCGATCAACCAACCTGAAAAAACAGCCCACCATTTTGTGCCAACCCTCATATACCCCATTGTTACATAGTATATTCCGATGACATCACCATAAGATAGTTGGTTTCATCGCTGTGTTCTTGGTTAAGATGCCCCAGGGCGGGATTCGGGTGCATTATGGTGCATTAAATCGAAATGTATGTAGCATATTGTAGCATCAGGATGTACTCTATTTCCAGGATATCTCACATCTATGGTTCCATGGCAGGTGGCTCAATCTCCCCCAAACGTGCCTCAAACGTGCCCGTCATGCCATCCAAACGACGCAACAACGGCCGCTCCAAGCATGGCCGCGGCCACACCGTCACAAAGCAGCATTTTTGAAGTCCAAATTCGTCTGCAAAAATGAGGGAAACCATGAAAATTCGGGCTCTAACCACCAACAAAGCTATTTGAAAATGCACCACACGTGATTTTGACCATGAAAACTGTAGCTTTGGCTTGCAGACATTGAGTTCTTGACCATTGAAAATTGGTGGGGCAAGCAACAACCAACCCCTATAGATAATGGTTGGTGCAGTGATGGACCCGTGCCAGATCTCAACATATTCCTCACAAGCTTAATATACGATACATGAGATGAACTCGCCAGTTGTAACTGGCCCGTCTGTGGAAGAAACCACCCAAAATGGGGCAACAAAATTCACTCAGGTGCAGTAATAGAAGCCATCACATTGAAGTTCGATCCCAACTAGGAATGTAGTACCCCTTAACAAAGCCCAATTGGGGATGGTTTACAGCATTGGGTTTCGTTATTGTTGTCATATATCATATATATATACATCAATATATCAATATATATATATATATACATTCCAATAATATCATCACAAACTGGTTGCATTTTAATCCCCATGAGGATATGATAATGGTAGTAATATGTATAACAACTATATATATAATTATATATATGATATATGTCGCTATTATCCACCAATAATTTTACAACGATCACATTGCTGTGCAACTATGGTCCCACAATTGTTCCTTATGTTCTCCATTTTGCTATTGAGTTTTACATGAATTTACCTCTTTATTTGGGATGTAGGCTATTTATTATGGGACTTCAATGGACTTCAACCATCTTTCTGGAAGATGAAACCTGAATGATCCATGGTTCATAAGCCGCTATCAGTGGTCGTTGGTGGTTAATGAGCCCTTAGTAAGGCTTAGTAAACCCTTGTTGTTTTCTTGATGAAGGCATTTCCCAACTGGAAGTACTGTGGTGATATGTGGTGATCCTCTTGTTGTGTCCCGATGATTGCCTGATGACGAGACGTTGCAGCATTTGAGCTATTTGAAAATCATTGGTTGATTGGTTATGAAATAGGGAATTATGCCTGGGTTCTTTGGCGACTATGAACTATCTACATCTATCTATACCCTCTGGTTATGACTAACAGTTCGCCATGGGAAATGGCCCTAATCGAAATAGATGGTTTACCGAACTTCAAAATGGTGATGGCTTCCATGGCTATGTTAAATATGGTATCTATAATAGGAAACTGTTTAACCAACATTTTTCAACCCCTGCAGTGGCCAGGCCATTGTGCGCTGCTCCAACTGCTGCCGCTGCGTGCCCAAGGACTTTCGGGATTTCGGGATCCCAAGGGGATGCCAAAACCATGGGGGACTTGTCATCAGAAACAGTGATTTTTCATAAGACATGTCATGCAACTAGACATGGCCGAAAATTACAGGGGTATATCAATTAGCAACATATATCATACAATGTGAGGCCCCCAAGATATCTAAGTTGGTTTAGATTCGCCCCAGTAACTAGTTCGTTATAAGTACCATTTTTACCATAGTCATTGTAGTTATGTTCACCAACTTAGCGATTCCGAACTGGGGCAGCACCTTGTAGTTTTAAATCAATGGTACACTGGTGAATTGGTTGGTTCATAATTCCAATAACCATGGCTTATGGTAGATATAACGAACTAGTTAATGGGTCATATCCCAAGCTATGGGGCCATAGAATGCTATGGGCACCTTTTTTGGATGGGCCGAGGTCACCTTGATTTTTTTTCTGCCATGGGGTGAAAAGCAAGCTATTTGCCAACAATTAAACGTGGCACATGGTGTTTTTTTACGGGAAAATCATGTCATAGAATCTTTAACTACAATATATATATATAATCATTGATTACCATATTTAGAATCTTACAGATCTTATAAAATATATTAAAATACTACAAGTGGATTTGAACATTGCCATTACCAGAGGAACTTCAGGTCCTCCTAGCTCCAGGACAAGGCCATCAAGCGCTTCCAGGTGCGAAACATGGTGGACGCCTCGTCTCAGCGAGATTTGAGGGAGGCCAGTGACTTGGTGATCTTGGTGACTGAAAATGTTGGTTGAAGCAGGGAAAATGTGTGGTGTTTTTTTTTTGGTTGGTGGTTTGGAACATTTTTTTCCATATATTGGGAATAGTAACCCCAACTGACTAATATTTTCAAAGGGGTTGAAACATGTTGAAACCACCAACCAGTGTTTTTTTTTCCGGAGGTCAAGGACCTGAGAAAGGCGAAATTCAGCCCAATGGTAAGTCCATTGAAAAGGGATGAAAAGGGGACATTTCACCGAGAAACAATGGGATTCGATGTGCAGTTTGACCAATTTCCAGAATACGACTTTGACTATCAAAGACAGAAAACATGGATAAGCATTGGCGGTAGTTTAGCCAGCCCAAAATTGGATTTTGCCTCTGGACAATTCACAATGCAGGTTTTGCCACCAAGCACATAGATGTTTATCCTAAGTATCATATGATGCGACAATTAGTTAAACCACATTTTGAATTCCAAATATGTCCACCTTACTTCTGTCAATTACATATTTTAGTTCCAAAGGTTTTTGTCCCTTAAATCCTCATTGTTCTATTGCTGAGGTGTGTACCAGACCTTTATGCTTCTCGGCTGCGGAGCAACGATGGAGATGTACCTTGAAAATCCTTGAAATCCACGATGGAACTCCGTAAATTGATAGTTTTCAGATGTGGAAACAATGTGACCTGAAAACATGTGGATTCGAAGTTAGATTTCAGGGACTTGGTCTTTTGTAATCAAAGGTGACAATTTAAAAAAATCAAACACTTGATTGGATTTGATTCATGGTTTGCCAGTCAATATATTTTGGTAGACAAAGATCCAATCATGGTCAGAAAATTGGTGAACTCAGTTCGCTTTCAGCACTCTGCCTTCAGCCCATTGTTGTGAGGTTGCCCAAGCTCTACATGAAGATGCTCTACTGTCACCTGGTGGCAAGCGTGAGCTTTTCCAGCCTTCGTCTCCAGTAAACCAATATGTAGCTATGGAAGTCCATGGTAAGTTTACTGGTACCCAAAATGGCCTTGTCAATGGAGAACATGATGATGAACGTGTGGGTTCTGGTGTCCCCAAGTTTTAGGAAGAAGCTCCAGAAATGAAAAAAGTTTAGAGTCCTCCGCAGAAGATGCCCTCAAGTTTCTGCTGTGTTTTGTCCTTTTCTCTATGCCAACTTGAACTCGAACTGGGACGGTTGAGGCTTTATGATCTCACCATGTATAACAGGGACGTATCACGAGACGCGACTCGAAACTTTGCAGCTCCGCGCTAGGTGTGTCCTGCGCCATCCACGGTCGCGTGGTCCGCGTGCGCAACAAGGTGTTGCGCGCCAGCCCCGAAGGCTCGGCTGAGGGGAAGTTTTCTTGGAAATCCCCAAGATAAATGGGATCTTTCAATGGGAAATTCATTCGAAAATATGGGAAAAATATGGGAAAAATCTGGGAAAAATATGGGAAAAATCCTATAAATGGAGGTTTCTAGCTGTGGAAAATCATCGAACGGTGGATTCTCCATGGCATTCCATGGCCACGTTTGATGATTTGTGTAGTGTCTGAATGGCCATAAGTGCAAGCAATCAATAATGTGAACAGATGTGAACCAACATTAATGATTGCTTATTTTTTTGGGTAAAGCTTGGTTTCCGTAGGTTTGTTTGATAGAAAATGGGGAGCTGAACAGACCAAAAAGATCGATTATTGCAATTTTCCAACAGAATAGGTGTAATCATAAGCAGTAGCCACGTGGTAGTTAGATTGATGGGAGAATGTTTGGCAAACACGGGTTGATTTCGCTTTGAAAGTGGAAGCTTCTACTTAACCTACATGAGCTGGGTAAAGTGGCAGGTTGCAAGAGCCCCCCATTGTAGGCATCTTCGAAACCTGGGTCTCCATGGCAAATCAGCCAAGCATAGCTGGTTGGTGGTTTGGAACATGTTTTATTCTTCCATATGTTGGGAATGTCATAATCCCAACTGGCGAACTCCATCATTTTTCAGAGGGGTGGCGAAAAACTCCGAAAAACCACCAAGCAGATTATTATTAACCATCATGAAAACCATCATCATAACATAACCATTAATATTAACCCTATATTGACAGTATATTACCAACCAATGGTAGGTAGGTAGGTCAACCACCAAGCAGTTCCTTTGGCATCGGCATCCACCGGTCAAGATTGCCGTTTTGGGAAATAGAAAATTTTTTTTGGCCATTTCTATGTTGCTTACCGGAGGGTATCCAATTAGTTGCACCCAATGGTTTGACCGGCAATAGTTATGGCACTGCTACACTGCTACACCTCGGTTTTATATGTTTTTGTTGCTTGAATTCTTATGATTCTTATGGTTTAAGCATATCTTCGCTCTCAGCCCAAATCTCAGTCATTGTTGACACGTTGTTGGAATACGTATGAATTCACGTTACATTCATCATTTCCATTCATTTCCCCAAATTTTCCGCATGTTTCCGCGTAGCTTTTTGGAGACGTAGGTCGCATCTACAAGCCCCCCATGGGCAAGGCGCCACTGGAGCTGCGTGCCTCACTAATGGGCTTTATATGGGCTTTTTTTTGACCAAAAAACATCACTGGGCACCAGGGCACCATCCTGTAAATCATCATTTTTTGACGGTTTATACTGGGTTTATACATGTTTATACATGTTTATACTGGGCCAACCTTGGTTAGATAATGTTAGATACTGAATGAATAGTACTTAAAATTTACTTAAATCTGTTGCTACCAGTGGTAAAATGTACTCACCAGCTAAAAATGGTGTTTGGCAGTTGGCAGGTATCTAAGGTTCACCATTGGTCCATACTGATACGACAGTAACTACTAGCAGTGATGGGCGACCCAACTGTTGATTCCAATAGGATACCCTCAAGGGTTTCATCAAACATGGCTAGCTGGAAAGTCCTCTCTATATTAGGATGTATGAATGGATTTGAATGGGAGAATCATCGAACGGATTTTACCAGAGGGTGTTTTTGTAACAAACATGATGCCTCAGTTTAGATTGTTGACAACTCAAATAAACTTTGAAGATTGGGGTTTATTGTTGGATTTGCTATAAGCGACAAAAATAATGGTGAGTCGTTCAATCATGTAAGTGCAGCTTGAATCAGTTTTATTGAACATAGCGATACATTGTCTGGGTATATTATAGTCGTGACCTCACCTCGTGACCTCACCTCGTGACCTCACCTCGTGACCTCACCTCGTGACCTCACTGGAATCATGGTTAGGATTGGGGGAATCATTCCTTTATTGCAGGTTAGTATCTGTTAGTGAGTTAATTACAATTTACCAATCTAAGTTCGCTGATATTTTCGCTGAAACTGAATGCCCCTGTCTTTGCCAGGGCGGTGGCAAGGGCAACTGAGAGCCAAATCAGAAGCGTCGTGCTCGTCGCGGGGGTGGAAAAAAAGGGGCCGCGGATCCAGGTTGAAACAGCACGACGATGCTGAGGTGTTGGGATATGGAGATGTTAGCCATGCTTTTCCGGGGATATGACGGGGTTTAGCATGGTGTAATAGTATGTAATGTTGGTTCCTGATTAGTGTGTGCCCCCCCCCCCCTAAACTATTTCTAGACTCTCTTTAAAGTAGAAAGTCAAAAATTTTCTTCCCAAAAGAAAAACATATCCTCAATTAAGTAAGGATTTCAATTGGCTACAATTGAAATCTAATTACTATTGTTTTTTTTTGCCGATGAAGTATTTGTGTAGTATTTGTAGTACTTGTAGTACTTGTAGTACTTGTAGTACTTGTAGTACTTGTAGTACTTGTAGTACTTGTAGTACTTGTAGTACTTGTAGTACTTGTAGTACTTGTAGTACTTGTAGTACTTGTAGTACTTGTAGTACTTGTAGTACTTGTAGTACTGTAGTACTTGTAGTACTGTAGTACTTGTAGTACTTGTAGTACTTGTAGTACTAGTACTTGTAGTACTTGTAGTACTTGTAGTACTTGTAGTACTTGTAGTACTTGTAGTACTTGTAGTACTTGTAGTACTTGTAGTACTTGTAGTACTTGTAGTACTTGTAGTACTTGTAGTACTTGTAGGACTTGTAGTACTTGTAGTACTTGTAGTTGAAATGGTGCCTCTACTGGTCCAGGGCCTTGGAAAATTGTGGGAAAGCTGTTCTTTAATAAGGGTTTAATAAGGGATTGGTTCTTTTGGGAAAGGCTTGCACTTTGACTTTGGCAATTTTGGAAATGGCTTGCTTCCCTTCTTCAGGGGCTGCTCTGGCACAGCTTGCTGCAATAGTGAACCCAGCAAACAAACCTACTCAATTACAGATGCATTTACAGGCTCAGATAGGAGATGAGCAAAAAATTGACTGAGCTAAAGCGTTTTTGAAAAAAAAATTGCCTCTCAGCAATTACAGTTTTTTTTTAAAAAAAAAGGGCTCTCCCAATTTTGTTTTGCCACAAAAGCGAACCATCCAAACAATACATGGGTTTCAGAATAATTTGGAAAAAATTTGCCACAATAGCGACCCTAGGTACTAATCAGGACCCAACATTAAAGGATGGCTGTTTATGTATCAGGAACAGAAGGGAACTTTTGTTTGAACAACCAGTGGAAGGATCACAAAAAGAACGAGAAACTCTGGCATCATGTAGTAGATAAGACAGTTTTAACTGGAACCTTTTAAACCGTTAAGAATATTATCCAAAGCCTGAAATTAACGGATGTTCTATCCACTACATGATGATTATGTACTGCCAGTTCTACCCTCCGTAACAATGCCATATATGACATATATAGACCTATACAATCTTATGTATATATATATATATGTACAGTATGTATACATAGCCAGCATGCGTGAGCAAACTATATATTATTCTACTAGATGTATCATATATAATTGTAATACATACACACACATATATATATATATATAGATAGACAGATAGATAGATAGATAGATAGACAGATAGATAGACAGACAGATAGATAGATAGATATAGAGATATTAATACAGAGGCATTTTATATATAAATACAGCCATCGCATCTGTCCGTGGGCCCCGAGGAACAAACTCGCGCAGCTTCGACAACGAGAGGCACGGAACGGTTTTCCGGTGAACCTTGTGGATTTCACCGGCGGAAAAGGTGATTTGACCAGCAAAAAGTGGTTAAACAAGTGGTTAAAAAAGTGGTTAATAATGGATAATAGTGGATAATAATGGATAATAATGGATAATCATAATGGATATTACATAATATAACTATATCTGGTTGGTGGTGACTGGAACATGAATGGATTATGACTTTCTATTGGGAATGGAATGTCATCATCCCAACTGACGAACTCCATCATGTTTCAGAGAGGTGGCGAAAAACCACCAAGCAGATCATCATGGGAACCTGGCTGGTTGGATAGCTTCGAAAATCGCCGAACTAAAACCAGGTCGATGATTGAAATTTACCCAGCAACGAGGTGCATCCCATCACATTTACTGTAGTAAATGGCTTATACCTCCAGTCATATATGGAATATCCTCACTTATATATGGGATTATATGGGTTATATGTTATACACGGATTAGGAACCATTTACCAAGTGGGATACACATCCAAGTAGGCATGCCTAGCTTATTATTTTCGCTGGGATTTCTCCAAACAAAATGGGTACTCTATTCTAGTAACAGAGGGTAGATTCTAGTCATGAAACCTTGGAATCCAATCATGAGCATGGTAAACGGATGTTGACTCCATCGTTGATTTCATGGGAGCGTTGGAAACGGCTCTAGGACCGATAGGACTCCTCATAATCAGGAGCTAGACTCCTGTTATCCAGCCCACTAGGGCCTCTAGGGTTTTCATCCATTGTTTTGAAGGCCGATAGGGATCTATATGATTTAAAGACATGACAAAGTTTAGCACTGAACGGCATCAATCATATTTGATGGTGTTTTCTTTGCATGAACTAAATAAGAGATCCTTTGTTTGGTTTAATATTACATACCAACAATCATTGTTTTCCCCTAATGATTGGAATCACAGAAAATTGTATTTAGTATATATATATAGGTTTTCCCGATGTCTGTTAAAGTTCAAACTCCATGTTTGATGCTCAAATCACAGGCTTTGATGTTTAAAGTGATGTTGGTTGAATCGTATTTCTTCATGCTCTAATCACAGTTTTGGATGCAATGGCAATCCCAGTTGCTTCCCATTCAGTTCCAATGTAACCACCATAAACCACCAAAACAATTCATCACAAACCACCAAAGAACTACCATCATCCATCATGAAACCACCATAAAACCACCCATTTTTCATGATGAAAACTACCCCCGTTCCACGGGGCGGCCGTTCGAAAGGCCTACGACGCCATCAAGCGCCGGGCAACGGCCGAACACGATGAGTTGGAGGTGTTCGGGAGCCCAACGGTAGACCAATGGCCCAAAGAAACCCTCTATAAGGTGGGGAAAATCCATGAAAATCCCCCAGTTGTAAGTTAGTTTATAAAGCCCATTAACTATAGTTATCTATAGTGATTGTAGTTATAAGCCAACTTAGCTAACTGTGGGACCACCTTGTAAATCATCAATTTATGATTATATAATCATACTTAGTAACTAACAGTGTTACGCTTGTAGTTGGGTTTGTATACTGATATAGTGATATGACACAACTATAATGATTTCAATGGGATACCTTCCGGTAATCAACATTGCAAGCTGGGAAAAATCCCCAGCAACAATGCAGGTTTTAATGCACAAATCATCTACAATTGGTGGATTTTCTATTGCCGTGTTTAATTACATATTGGGGTATATACAGTAGTTCATAGGGATTGATTGATGATTAATGAATTTGATTGTGGATATGTTACATGTTGGTGTGTTATTAGGGATTTAAGGATATCACGATAGAGATTTCATGGTATGTTAATGGGCATATTAGTGGGTACTTTGATTTTAATATAGTGGGAATTGATCATCAGCAACCTAATATGATATCATATGATATATTCCAATCAAATTATATGGGATGTACTTTAATTACCATATTCTAACATATCATTATCCCACATTGGCCAAGATAGTGGCAACATAATATGGTCAACATTTTCTGATTAGAATTGGCCAATCATCCCTTTTTTCGTATATGACGGTGAATGATTTCTGTAATTAAAGTATATCCCATGACTGGACCCCCAATGCATGAATAGATCCAATACTAAACGAGGCTTTCGTCACGAGGTGTTTAGGCAGCGGTTGGCAGTTCGGATGATCCAAGTGCATCACTGTTGGCGCCATGGCATTGTTGGATAGAAACCAAATTTGTGATACCCTTTAGTAAACTACCCTCTGGTAAATTAACATAGACCCTGGCAGAGAGGGGTTGGAAGATTAGTTTCCATTAAAACTAGGCTATTTTCAGGGTCTATGTTAATTTACCAGAGGGTAACATAACTATGGAAAATCACCATTTTTAATGGGTAAATCAACTATAAATGGCCATTTTCAATAGCTATGTTTGTTTATCAGATGGTACATCAAATCTATCAATACAAGGCCATGTCAAGGGCTGCGCTCATCTGCACTCATCTGCACTCCAAGACAACATGGAGCCAAGATTCTAAGATGGTTGATTTCTTTCCAACAGACACGGGAATTTGACCAACTAGAATGGGGATTTTGTGAAGAGAGATTGGGATATGTTGCCAAGAAAAAGGATGGGTAAAATCCAGGGAAACCAACTGGATCTGTAATTGTTTTTCAACGAAAACGCAGGGTATCCAAGACTGGACATGAGTTGTCGGTTGAACCAACCTCATGTTTTTATCAACAACACTCCAGATTTAAATGGATGTGCACCATCATGAAAGACTTCACCAACTAAACGGGCATTGTGTGGAGGGTTTCTGCTAAAATGGTGACATACTGGGGATGGAAGAATATGAAGAAATCCTGCACCAGTTGATAGGTGGTTTATCCCATTATTTATAGGGCTTCAACCATCCAAGGTGGTGCAGGATTTCTTCCATCCAATGTATGTTTAGAGATATGTAGCTGTTTACATCAGGGGTGGGGAAGCTGCCAAGCCACCTAAGCCAACGCTGGCTAAACTTTGGGTACACTCGGTCAAAGTATCATGTTTGCTATACATGGAACAGTATATTCGATAGTTCTGAATGGTTCGCAGCCACGCACTCGCAGACTCAATTTGCTTTGTTTTTGGCAGACAGATTCCGACAGATGGGTAGTCTCTGCGTATTCCACTATTTTGGGGAATCGACCAAATCAGCACATATCCTGCTAACAGTGCCCTGTTTGCCGTTAGACTCAAAGCGGATGGGCCACAGTAGTTGCAACCAAGACAGAATTTGGGGACTAGCGGGCTCGACAGAACACGGCGCTTAACCAACACCCGATTGCATGGTACATGGTTGCGATATTTCGTGGGATATCAGTGGATTTGTTGGTACAACCACGTGAAAAATCAGGGGTTCACCAGACAAATGGGGGGGTGAGCATTGATCCTCTGAGGCTTAGAAATGAGAGAAGGTGTGGAGTTGCGGAGTGAGTTGGGTGTGGCAGGGTAACAGTTATGGCCCTTATAAATGGACCTCAAATGGGATGAAATTGCTCCTGTAACTTCCTGTAGCTAGTTGCTTATATATATATATATATATCATGCATAAAATAAGCCAGTTATAACTTATAACTTACAACATCTTAAAACTCTGAACGGCAATAAGTGTTCGGCCCGGTGGGCCATGGTGGGGAGCTGCAGGAGCTACAATCGGAGTTTCCCAACCACGTTTGATAGTAATGGTTAACACTGAACATGGATAATAGACCATTATAAAATATGGATCAATTGCTATCATTTTTATGGTTACCAAGATTTTCATAGTGTTCATCGTCAATAATCCTAAAATAGTGCCTGCAGTGTTATAGATTTAGTTGCAAACATTAACCCGATGGTTTTAATATGTTCATGCTAAACAATCCTGTTGTTGCCCATATGGTCACTATTTCGTCAATGGTTTATGAACCCTTCATTCGCCGGCAGGTTCTACGTGCAGGGTCAGAAGCACCTGAAAGCCATGAAGGACGGGGTTCCCTGAGACCTGGTTGATGAGGCTAAGCCAGCTGTTTGATGTGGCGTACTGTACGTTTGAATACTGAATATATGTCGTACTAAATGATACTATATAAATGATAATAGATATATCATAGTTTTCATGATATCTCTAAAATAAGGGAAGAAAACAAAAGGTGCGGCGTTGCTTCAGAGCTTTGGATCAAGTAATGTGGGATTCAATGACATAAACCATCCTCAAAATCACCACGAATGGGTGCTAAAACCCATAAAAAGGTTGGTTTATGATCGGCTTTACCCATGTTTATCACATTATCATAAGTTCTCCATTCAGCTTGCAATAGTGGAACTCTGTGGTACTTATCAAAACACACATGGGGATGGGTCAAAACCCTGGTACCGTGCCGTGAACCCCAAATAGCTGGGATTTATGGATGTTCATCCCATTAAAAATGGTATTAATAGGTATTGATCCATACCCACATGGTCTTTCATCCCCAACAGTTGTGAGTTTCCAGGTGAACAAAAGGGCTTACCAAGGGGATATAGTGACGGCCGATCGTCAGGACGTGAACAAGACCAATGCCAGAGCTGCCAAGGTGCCAGAAAGCAACATTTTTTGGTGGCTGTTCCCCTGCCAAACATGGCAGAAATATGTAGAAATCATGGCTTTTTCACCAGGTCATCGAGGAGCGGAACAAGCGCGAATTTGAGCGGCAGCAAACAGCGTGCCTTGGGCCGAAATATGACGTAAGCTCAAGATGGAAATAAGGAAATAGTGTGGATGGAAGAATATGGAAACAGGGATTTCCGTAAAGTAAATCTAGGCCTGCCGATAAATTCAAGAAATAGGGCAAGTAGTAGTATGGAAATAATGTGGGAAAAGACAATATATATATCACCTATTTATCGTGATTTCAGGGATGGTTGATTATTCTTTTACCCACAGTGTGGATGGACAAGATTCGAAATAGTGTGGATGGACAAAATCCTGCACGAGGCAGGGTAACTGTTAGGTAATTATGAGACGCTGCAAATAATGGGATAATGGGATAAACCAAGATGGAAATAGGAATATACTTAGAATATATATATATATACCAGGGGTACCAAACGGGTGCCGTAGTGGGACCCCTTAGCCAAAAAACACAGTGGGACCCCTTATTTTTTTAGGTGGTTTAGAGGTAGTTTGGAGGGTTCTTGACCATGCATCTCAATTTTTGATCGCTGAGGGCCCAGGTTCACCCGCAATGGCCACACTGCAGCCTGGCCACCGGCTCATGTAGGAATGATCGACCAAAGGCATGGGCATCAGGTACAACACCTTCAAAGCTATGGAATGGTTGGCACTGAATGGCCCAAGTTAAAACAGATAGGTAATAGAGTTACTAGAGGTGCAAGGTACCCCAACACAATGTTAAGTATCATTAGAAGGAAATTCCGTCGTTGGACATCTGCCATGCCGAGCGCAAGAGTGGCAGCAAGGATTTCAATGATGAGGCGAAGAGCCTTGTCCAACAACATATTTGGAGGGTTTCATCGGGAAAAAACATCAACATTCATTTTTAAAAACCATGACTGTGAATAAGGATCATGGCAAAAGCGTTGATGGCCCGTATCGATGATAAATGTATTGAATGGATCCGACGATCTGGTGAGTTTTGGCCTGGCGGAGACATCCGCATTAGTGCCAATCAGTGGCTGCGAGCAGCATTCCATGACAGCTCCCTCAAGAAAGTTCTACGTGAGAACTCTATGAGACAAGCCTTACACATTGTTGTCAACAAGAAAGGGCTTCGTCTTCAACTGAGTTGATACGAAATTGTTTACTTTTATTTCCTGGTGAGCACATGTTCCAACATCATCCCCTGCCAACAATAAGGTTTTGGAAAGTCTGAAGATGAACTTGATGCCTGGATCAATGAGCAAGTAACTTGATCCCTTACTCTTTAGCCACTGTAAGTTTATCAATCCTTACTTATTTGTTGTTGGTGTTGATGGGGTCTACGTGTTTATCTGAGGCATTCCGTGGCCAGCAGGTCCTCCTAAACCACGCAAAGCAAAAGAGGAAGGGGGGTTCCTTTCTTTCACCCGGCACAAAAGAGAAACGCAAAGCAGAATCAAAGAAACTTGCCTTAATTTTTTTTGAAATGTTCCCCTTGGCCATAATTTGTTTTTTTGAAATGTTCCCCTTGGCCATAATACTACTTAAATCTTCCATGTGTTGTGGGACATTCGTTGAAGCACCTCCAACCCTCCGTACTCAGGAGCGAACGAGGACCACTTGCAGCAATTTGCCAGGACTGTCGATGTGATGAGATTTCCTGCCAACTCATGACGGAGTTGGAGCGCCGCCGGGCTGCTGAAAACCCAGACACTAACTAGATGTTAGATCGCACCAAGACGATCTGCCGTATATTACTTGACTCTGTCAAACTTTAGATCCAAACAATTCCTTGGGGTGTGGAAAATACAGCCTGTTGAACTTGCTGCTGAGGTGTCACGGATAATGTTAACCTCTGAAAAGCTGTTGGGTATATGGGTACCTTTTGTTTCCACAAGAAGTATCTGAATGTAACCACCAAAATAATAGCTAGCTCACATATTCGAACCAACAACCATACGTTTTCATAGGTGATCTTATGGTATGGGACAATGCATTTTGGGGAATGACAACAGCTGGGCATAATCTTTTGGAAAATGATATTTTTACCTAGCAAAAAGGGTTCATCTCCATTTCAAACCATGAGCCTGCAAGCTCGTTGGGCAAGTTACGGTAAAATCCCAAACGTAATCTGGCAAATGTTTTGGGCTAGAAATCTGAGAAAATTCCAAATCTATCCAAATCCCAAAAAAGGCGCGTGTCAAACGTGTCAGTGGCGTGTCTCGGGTGGTTCCTTGGGGGTCCCACAGTGGGACCCCTTAGGCTAAGGGGTGCCGTAGTGGGACCCCTTAAAAAGTGTCGGGGGTGCCCACCAAGTTCAGGGAAATCTCATTTTTGGTGGTTTGGTCAAAAAAAACGATCGATCTATTCTGTGGCTCCAGCGGGTTTTTTCGGGAACGACCTAGTCGATCTAGTTCCAGCCATGCCGGATGGAAAAGAGTTTGAGGCTGGCTAACCCTATTGAGTAGGGAAAACTCTGTAAGTAGTATTTGTTTATATATTATATATATATATATATATGTGTCTGACTATCCCTGATGTTTCATTTTCATGTGAGCATATGCACATGCTCCACTATTTATATCACAAACACTGATGTAATACTTGGCTGGGGGGCTATGTCGGCTACTTTACCTGGGCAGGTGAGCGCTGAGAAGATGAGGGCACTCAAAGCTCAAACTGTTCCGACAGAGGCTTTCAAAAAGTTTGAAAAGAAAAGAAAACAAGCACTTGAAGATATCGAGCAAAACAGAAAGGAAACAGCTGCACAGCTCAGACGTGTAGGAGAGGTGTTGAGAAACAATGCAGACTCCAAAGATGAAAGTGGCAAGAGACCGCCAAAGACAGGATCAGCAAAGGATGAGAAGACAAAGAACAAGTCTGGGGAGAAGCAGAAGGAGAAGGTTGCAAAAAATGAAGACCATGAGGAGAACAAGAAGTCAGGTGAGAAGACCGGCTCTGCGAAGGATGAGAAGACAAAGACGAAACCTGAGGAGAAGCAGAAGGAGAAAGCGGCAAAGAAGAAATCCACAGAGCCAAGCGAGGAGAGCCAAGGAAGGTATATCTCTGAAAACATCCTTTGCCTTTGCTCAGGCTACGTGCTGCAGTTTTTGTCAATCTGGTTGCGATGCGCGCTGCGATGAGTGATTCGTCCAACACCGGAGTCAAGCTGACCGATTCCAATTTGCAAATGCTGCAGCGTGCCAACTATTTGTTCCATTCCGCACACAACTGATGCTTGGCGGCTTTACTTTTGATGTGTCAGTTCAGCCTGCAGAGAAGTGTGATTTCATTGCTTAAAAAAAATCTGATCATTTTGTATCTGAGGGCTTGCGACTGAAGCTTTGGAAAAAGAAAATCTACTTTGGCGCACACGTCCAAAGTACCACAAGTAACTTGTGTGCATATTAGTGTTCTGCCTGCGGGTAAGTAGCCTATCTTACCAAGTGTGCATAAACAAGTGTGTGCTACCTGGTTTTGGGTGGATGCCTATAGATTGTTTTTTCCTTCATGTTTTTCTCGCACCATGTGAGGTTAGACCATATCGTCTACGACTGTGCTCCAGAAGTTTCTCCACTGAAACTAAGCTGCTATACAGATGAGGACGCGATGGGAAAACTGAAGAAATTAGCGATGATTTCATATCCCAACCAGATGGGACGACAAGTTCTGTCACGCTACGCTGCATATACATGCGTGCGATGGCTTCGAAGACTCACAGAATAAGCTAGAGTATATACTCTAAATGTCAAAAGATGTCACTATGTATTTTTTTATGCTGTCATTTTGTGTACTGTGAGTTTTCGGCGACTGCATTTCCAACGACTCCCGTTGGCACCTTCTGAGCCTCTTTCCAAAATGTTGAGCTGGTCCAGCCGATGCCGCCGCAGCGCAGCCAGGTGTGAACTGGTGATTGATGGAATGGGGTTATTTGATAAGATTACCAAAGAATACCTACAAATATATCTTACTATATCCAGCACATATGTTTTTAACAGTTGGTATGACCTTGGGAATAAGGGTTCCCGTAGTGGGACCCCTTAAAGATATCAACTTCCAAAAACACAGTGGGGCCCCTTTGGCGGTGCTGGTATATATACACGTGTATATATAATATATACTTAAACTATATATAATATACGTATATAATATACGTATATAATATACGTATATAATATACGTATATAATATACGTATATAATATACGTATATATATATATATAATGGGATTTCATGAAAGTAGAATGCGGATATGAGGGGAAATAATGGGATAAAGTTAGAAGAATTGGATATTGGATTATATATAATGGAATGGAATGGGAATGTAGTGGGATGTAACTAGCCAATATCCTAGACAGAGTTGGAGGGGTCTATCATGGTATGTAAGCATCAAATATGGTGGATTGACGAGAGAAATGGGGGGTGGCCTAACGCCATTGGGATTTCATGGGGATTTCAATGTGGATATGGCCGACGGTCGAACGGTCATACTGGATCTACCAGCCATTTATCGCTATGGGGATATAGTGGGCATCTGGTCTGATCTACAACCACCAACATTATATTTAACCAACAAAGTTGTTGGGTGATAACATGTTACAACACCAATCTTGATATGGGCATACAATGGGGTATACTAGGATATAACCAGCCACATGGGTAAATGATTCGGCCTATGGGTATAGATTTTCGGACTTTCATGGGATGTATAGTAGCACCAAGAAGAGGGATAGGGCTGCGTCTTGAAAAACCCACCGAATGGTCACTACCGGAAAGTCATGATGAACAGTCGGATGTAATGGGGCACACTATGTTCAATCAAACACCTGCATATGATCTATCAGCTATACATTGTACACCCTTTGAATATATCAACAAAATAGCATTCTGCAAATCAACAACTGTATCACAAACTTCAAAGATATAATTTATATAATGGTTAAAGACACATGTGCAAGCGAATGAATCTCCTCTTTTTTCTTCGCTTTCAGCAGATAAAGAAGGTCCCTGCAGACTTCACCGGTCTCATTGTCCAGAATGGTCACTTTCCACATCTATTAGCATCTGGTTATTTGTTACATAGCCTTGGAAGCCAGCACCATTTTTCAGTTCGGTAAACCATGGTAAACCATCTATTTCTATGGGCCATGGCTTCCATGGCGAACTGTTAGTCATAACCAGAGGGTATAGTTTACAGGAGACAGTACTACCAACACTCAGCATCTATGATTGGGGCATAACCCTTCTGAGATCTATTTAAGAATGGAGCAATGACATGTAATCACTGTCCACATCTTAGAAATCACACAGGACTGGGGCACCTCATGGATTACGATGGATTGCGTTTTTCGGGCATGTGTCAACAGCTGGTGGCTTGTGATTTGTTACTTTCCATCTTTCCATTCCACAACTCTTAGGATTTTTCTTCGGGCTGAGAAGGCTGAGACTACCAACTCACTGCGATTTCAATCCAATGGTCGGCGGAAGACCTGTGGGAAACCATGACCGGAAAAACCTATCCTGGAACCACTTTTTCTATCGGACCTTGGGGGTTTGGAACATTTGGATTATTTTCCCCAATAGATTGGGATGATGATCCAATCTGACGAACTCATATTTTCAGGGGGTGGCTCAACCACCAATTAGTATTGAATAATATTGTATACTTGTATAATCATATGTTTATACATATACAATCTGTTTGGGGGTTTGGTTGGTACAAAAAGTGGAAAAAAACATGGATCAAGACTCTCCACTGAGGTTGGACCGTGCTATGAGTGACCCATGCCTCAATTGAGCCGAGTCGTTGCTACCCATCTCTTGGTTGAAATTTTCACCAGCACAATGTAGTTGTACCATGATGTACCATGCTGTTGTCCCTGGGAGTCACATTGCAATTTCCAGCAACATCCGGCTCACTGAAACACTCCACTGGAACACAACGGAGATCTGGAGCAAAACTGAAACTGCAGAAAGTTTCACACGTCTTGTTTATCTTTGTTTGGTGTTCCAACACTCAGAACATCATGAATCAATTTTGACAGTGCTAGACATCCTTCTCACCCCTAGTTCTATTGTAGTCTGAAACACTTTCGGACTGTTCCTTCTGGTTCAATTTTGACATTGCTAGAAGGTATGACTCGGTATGACTCACAACGAAAGGCTATTCAAAAGTCAACATAAGATCCTTGTTGCATTTAACGTCGGTATTTATTGTGTAATCCATTATGCGAAAACTGTGTAATCCATTTGTGGCACATTTATGTTTATTTGTGTAGTGACTTACACCACACTTGAAATACCACAAAACAATACAAAACATGGATCTGTAATGGATTACACCATATTACACCATTTTTGGTGTTTTTTGCCAGACAGTTTCCATGTTAAAACCAACTTCCCTCGGCTCAAGACGTGGCGACGAAGGCCTTCGCCCGAGGCGAATGAATCGTTGTCGCTACGTATCGTTTCACCGAACGAGTTTCGTTGCTGAGCTCGTCACCGAACGAAACATGGGAAAACCATGGAAAACCAACCATTCCAATGGATTATTGTGGATGATCCTCATGTTCTTCCTTATTGAAATGGTGCCATTTTTGTGGGAAAAAAAACAAACCATTTTCAGACTCGCTGCATCAGTTGGGGAGAATGACATGACATGACTCACCGCTAATTTCAGGCGATGGTGAATGATAGTTACTGTTCTCAACCCTCGATGTACCTCTTAATGTGTACATGTAGTGGATATGTTACCCGGACATGTAACCTTAAACCGTAGTGTCTTCCGCAAAAACATTGATATGAACTTTGGAGGCTTGACCAACGATTTCATAATCAGTCTTTGGGAATATATATATATATAGCCTGTAGAACTGGCTGGTAGTTTTACATGTGTTGTTTACTCGTCTATCACCTACCAGTATAGCATGTTTGACAGCAAATGAACCGTTGCTGTTGTCACTTCGTACGTTGATTATAGATAAATTCAGATACCGTAGTGATTTTCCGATGGTAGCGATAGTCATAGTGATACTTGTACTCACCTATCCAACCACCCTCCCAACAAACCTTTGCAATAAAAGATGTTGGAAGCAGGAGTTCAGCTGGGGTTGGCTGCTGGCAAATGCCAGCGGCGCTCACTAACAGTGGGCACAGTGCGCATCTGGGGAAATGACCGATGGGGGTGGATTTTCCAACCAGCAATGTGACCTGAAGTGGGTAAAACAGTAATAAACCATCCTCCAAATCACTATAAATAGGTGGTATGGTTACCATTCCCAGGAAAATGGGTGGTTTATTGGTTTACCATGTTTTACCCAAATATAACCTGAGATCAGGAAGCTTCCTTCGTAGTTCTGAAGAACTTTTGGAGTTCATTCAGTTTCAAGACCTTCATGCCATGAGCATATGTTTGTCTCATCTGTGAGTATGGGTGAAAAATGCACCCCACAAAGAGTGGTGTTTAATACACTCAAAAAATGACCAGAAATTCTGGGTGTGTTATCACACTGTGTCTCCAAATCTTGTGGTGATCAGGTGATGCCTCACACCCACATTTGCTTCAGATTTTCGTTGAACATGGCAGAAGAAAGGGATTTTTCACTCACCAAATGGGGCTCGGCTCGTTGTGCCTGCTGTGCCCCTTTGTCCACCATGGTCCACCCATTTCCAGGCCATATGATTGCTAGATATGACTATTCCATATGCTGCATGGAATAAACGAAGATATCATCCATGGCTTTTTGGAAAATGCATGAAAACTCGACGATTTACCGTTTCTAGACATGGTGATTTTACAAAAACAGCAAATACAAATTTCCGCAGGGTATATGTTTCATGGCATGGCATACATGGAGCGTGCGGGTATGATCAACGTCACGACGTCCGTCCGTCTCGCAGACCCAATTTTGGATCCTGCTGGGACGACGATCCGCGGCGAGATGAACGCCGTGCGTTCGGTGAGGCAGAAAAGTAGTTGAGCAGAAACCATTATTCCCAACATCTCAATGACTATATAATAATATCACAAGTATCGTGATTGCATATATATATCATATATAAATGGGAGCCGTCCAAAAACCCCAGAAAGGTTTTTAGTAAAGGACCTATTCTCGCATTTTTCCCATGGTCTAAAACCTGCATCGCGCAAGTTTCGCGCAAGGGCGGCCCAAGGTACGCGCAAGTACTATTGTTATCATTATTACAAGTACTATTTTTAGTTAACATTTTGATTACTACTACTACTACTACTACTCCTCCTCCTCCTCCTACTACTACTACTACTACCAACAATTACTCCTACTATTACTACTACTACTATTACTACTACTACTACTACTACTACTACTACTACTACTACTACTACTACTACTACTAACTACTACTACTAACTACTACTACTACTACTACTAACTACTACTACTACTACTACTACTACTACTACTACTACTAACTACTACTAACTACTACTACTACTACTACTAACTACTACTACTACTACTACTAACTACTACTAACTACTACTAACTACTACTAACTACTACTAACTACTACTAACTACTACTAACTACTACTAACTACTACTAACTACTACTACTAACTACTACTAACTACTACTAACTACTACTACTACTACTACTATTACTACTACTACTACTACTACTACCAACAATTACTCCTACTATTACTACTACTATTACTACTACTACTACTACTACTACTACTAC